ATTAAAAAGACAAAAACCTAAGAGAAAGTGGATGAAGGGTTGGTTGAAACAAAGAAATACACTTACATATACCAACTTATTGTCCGAATTATCTTTAGAGCCCACAAATAGGAGCAATTACTTGAGAATGGACGAGCAGACGTATTTCAAATTAATGTAACTTGTGACATCAATAATAAAAAACAAGATACTAATATGAGGCAAGCCATAACTCCTCATGAGAGGCTAAGTGCTACACTTCGCTTTTTAGCCTCAGGAACGATATGAAAATATGAAATTTGAAACTGCAATTTCTGCACAGCGCCTGGGAACCATTATTCCCGAAACTTGCAAGGCATCGTAAGTGTTTTGAAGAATTATATGAAGGTAAGTAAATAATACAATTTGTATTTAGTTTTTTATTACTAGGTATTATTTTGCAACAACAACAATTTATTACAGTGTGAAAATTACTTATTTAAACTTAATTATTCAGTGTTGTCTGAATGTGTGTCGTCTATAGCGGCAATAAATGCTTCATACATTATATTATGGTCCTGTTGTGAAGATCCAGGCTCATTTGCTGAATTATTCAAAATACCAGAATTGCCATGGTTCCATTTTGGTGGATTCAAATACATTTACGAATTGTTGGTATAATTTTAGTTCAAATTATTGTGTACAATATGCGAATCAATAGTTAAATTGTTAATCTCAGCCATGAATATCGCATCATTAATGATTTTTTGGCAGTACGTAGCCATCACTGTCGGCAAATTTCTTAATTTTTCTGCAATATGTTCACCAAATGACTCATATTGCTGTTTCGCCCGTGGAGGTTCTTCCAGTTTATTTGCTATCTTTGCTAGAACATTATCAGATTGGGCTTAAGTTTTTTTTGTTTGAGTCCTTGACGATGAAGCGACACTACTTTGTGAAAGTGGCGATTGCACATTCGTTGATACATTGGCTTTACTTTCATCATCGCTGATCTGAAAATAATATTTTTGTTACAGATGCCAGATATTGAAGAAGATGGAGGAAAATCACAAAGGACTTTGAAGAAAGATGGCAGTTTCCTAATTGTTTAGGGGCTATAGATGGAAAACATGTACATAGGAGTGGAGTCCCTCCAGGAAGTGGTTCCTATTTTTGAAATCACAAGAATTTCAATAGCATTGTGCTAATGGCTTGTGCAAATGCCAACTATGAATTTATATGGTGTGTAGTTGGTACAAATGGTCGAGTTTCGGATGGAGGAGCCATACAGAATACAAATTTATATGAAAAATTACTGAAAAAGGAACTTTACATCCCCAACGATGACAGGTGTCAAAACAGCCATACTAAATTGCCCCTTGTATTTGTGGGTGATGAAGCTTTTGCTCTAAGAAGTTTATGAAGCCGACTTTACTAGAGCACAGCTCTGATAGCAGAAAAAAATTTGATTTTCAATTATAGGTCGTCAATAGCTGGGCAAATAATAGAAAATGTATTCGGTATCATGTCAAACCGTTTCAGAATCTTTCATACTGCTATAAACTTATGTTTGGACAGAGTAGATCTAGTTGTCTTAACATGCTGTCTCCTTCACAATTTTCTTAAAAAATCTAGCTCCCCTTATGTAACAGATAATGCATTGGATATTGATATCAATACTAATGATTCAATTGCTCCAATCGGTCTCACTTCATTAAATATTACAAATAGAAATGCCAGCAATAGTGCAAAAAAGTAAGGGAAACCTTTGTGCAATACTTTAATGGAGAAGATGGTGTCAGCAGTGGCGTAGCTAGGTAGCCAAGGGGTAAAAATATTAAATATACAAATACTTTAAAAACGCTAAGCTTAGGTACTTTATCGTGCGGTAGTTAATAAAATATTAAACAGTAACAACATAAATTACAGTTAATACTTAGTGTAGGTATTGGGCAATAAAATGTAATAGAAAAGATTCAAAGGCTTATTATATAAAGGTCGGACCTACCAACTGACTAAATAGCAATTATATTTACAATCTTTTCCTAGCCTCTTTTCGCAGAAGTATCAATGACTTCGGTTAAATCCAGGCATGATGCGGTTTCGTTTTCAATTGTTATTAGCGATAAATGTCGGAGTCGAGTTTGGCCCATACTATTTCTTTTTTTTAAATTTGCTAAATAGGAATTGTAAAGAATAACAACATTGCTGTAAATACTTCCGTTAGGTCGCAATCTCGCACTCCATATTTGCTCATTATTTCCTTACATAATTGGTGAACAGTCCATGCTTGACTTAATTGAGGTAAAACTAGGTGGTAAATATTAATAAATTGAAGTGAAAAGCTAGGGCCTATTATATCTGAATATTTTCTTTGGAATTCGTCACACTTCTAATAAAGTTGCTTCATCAACATGTAATAAAAATGTTGGTGTAAGAAAATCGAATATTCGACAGACTGCACGCATACGAGTAGAACGTGTAGGTATTTAATTGAGCTATTAATGGGTCTAGTACATTATTGAAAATCTCAATTTTAAATATTTCTTTTCTATTTGGAAATCAGTGATCAGCAGCTAATTCATCAAAATGCTTTTTAACTTTCCTTTGCATTTTTTTCTTGAAAAGGAGGATCTGTACCGTATTTTCTTGCAATTTCACTGGCCTGCACTTGAATAGTTCGAAATCATTTCTGTAAATTTGCAAGTTTGCTTTGGTCTCTGCTAAAGCTTTACTTGCCTCGCCCAAATTCATGTCGCATTTTTGTAAAGTTTCGGATGCATTTTTTATGGTGACAAACGAGCACACAGTCCACCTGATGGTAAGTGGATGCTGCAGCCCATAGACATCTACATCTATCCTCGAATACAAATCAAAATACAGATGCGTTGTTACCCGTGAGGACTAAGATGGAATGCTTTGATTCCAGTAAAAAGGGTCTCCGGTTCTCTACACACACCATACGAAACACAGCAGCATTAAGCTACTATTTTATGCTGGTATTCTGTAAGAATGTGGTCCTTCCCTAGTGGAGCCGACCCATTTGTGCTACAACTATACTACTAATATAACTGCAGCATGGCTCTACCACGTATAAAATGCATAATTGATGTCATTCAATACAATGTGCATGAATTCGCAAAACAACACGACCTCGAAATTTAGCTTTTTTTTGATACTCTCTGCTTCATTACGTTCGCCAGTGAATTTTGACAGTAGATCCGAACGTTTGATAATATTTCCGAAAAAGTTATACAAATCTTGCAACGTTGCGAAAAAAACTATATTTCCACACAACTGCTAACGGCATCATTTATCACCAAATTTAAATTATGAGTGGCACAATGTACGTACTCCGCGTTAGGCCAAACATTATTCCTTTGTGAAGCAAATTACCAGCAGGGTTGACAATAGGCAGCGTCTAGTATTTTGGAATAACACAAGCAAAAGCGATTAACTGGTCCGTATTTTGAATTCGAAACGTAGTACGACTTTGAAAAACACCTATTGTTCTGGTTGATATCTGTTGGAAAAGTCCGGAAGACTGTAAAGGCCCCATATCAAGAATTTGACCTTTTTCGTTATCACTTAATATTTTGTTCGTGAAGTTTCCCAAGTCATAAGAAGATTTATCGTACACATTTTCAGAAAATGTAGAGGTCTGTAGTTCCTCCAAATCCTCCGTTCTTATATGGGACATGCAAACATCATCAATGTTTACCAACCAACACTGAAGTTACCACATTATTTGTGTCACTATCAATAGAAATATTTTATCCAGAAGTACTTGTAGAAAAAACTTGTCAATTTTGGGAAATTTTTGTTTACTATCTTCTCTTTCTTGTTGTTTTCTGCGTTTAAATGCACCACTGGATTTTTTCTTTTTGTCCATAATATTCGTTTTCTAATTTATTTATGCAATATTTATATTAGATTGTGCTCGAGTAGGTACTCACTATTCACCGACGACGTTAAAAGTAAAAGAAAGGAGAAACGTAATGATACGCTACAAGACGTCGTTGGGGAATCCCCGGGGAACATTTTACCGCCGTTAGTGTTACCACATTTACAGGTGGAGACCAAGAACGATCTCCTCGCGTGCGGGCCTGAATTAATGCACCTACTGCAGGTGACCTGCATTTTTTTCACGATATTTCGCGCTATACAGTGAGTAGCCGAAATCTATAGATTTGACATGATTTATTGACGTAACGGACATCAATATGAGTGGTACTAAAATCGAATGAAATTGAACTACTATATTGACCAGTACTAAAAAGTTTTTGACATTAGCTTACTTACTCCTGATACAGCATTAATTTTTAACCGTTCTCGAAAAAAAATCTTGATTCGAATTCACAATAAAACGCACATCGATCAATAATAAAACGTAGATATCGCTATCCGTCAAATTGACAACACTGCCAACCCACAGAAAGAATTTAGGGGAATTCCCTAGGTATAAATTTCGAATTTCTCTAAACTGAGTTGCCATGATTAAAGTAGGGTTGCAACCTGTCATATTTATTTTGAAAATGGGAGAAATTTTTAAAAGTTCGGTTCGATCGAGATTTTCTGCTAAGGATTCGGGGGCCCCGGAGCACTGCCCCGCCTAGCCCCTAGGTAGCTACGCCACTGGCTGTCAGTTGGCAATATGATAAAATAGTATAACAATGTAAATTATGTATGTACCTCAACATCATCTTTAAACGGCAGGTCATCGAGGATGGAATCCACTGGTCTTGAAACCCTTGGTAGTAATGGATTTGTGCTGTTCCTGCACCAGATCTTTCTCATGTCTTAACCCATAACACAATATAAAGTTAATTCAAATGTAATTAATAATTAATCAAGCAATTTGATAACATAAAATCCTGATTTTAATGTATATTATTTAATCGAAGACTTAAAACGAAATAAATATGCGACATTATTATGTTATTTTATTTGTCTACACATATATTATTACTAAACATCTACAGAAACCAATAAAGTAATTTTCTACGAATTTATTTACAACACATACCTTATTTAATTCTTTTTTAAAACCATTTCTCACAGTGGTTGTCTTTTTTAACCGTATCTAGGTTGGCCTCTGAATCCTTTGTTTTAAACAACTCCAACATTAATTCCTTTTTAAAACAATTTCTCAAAGTGGTTATCTTTTTCTTAACCGTATCTAGGTTGGCCTCTGAATCCTTTGTTTTAAACAACTCCAACATTAATTCCTTTTTAAAACAATTTCTCAAAGTGGTTATCTTTTTCTTAACCGTATCTAGGTTGGCCTCTGGCTCCTTTGTTTTAAACAACTCCAACATTAATTCCTTTTTAAAACAATTTCTCAAAGTGGTTATCTTTTTCTTAACCGTATCTAGGTTGGCCTCTGAATCCTTTGTTTTAAACAACTCCAACATTAATTCCTTTTTAAAACAAATTCTCAAAGTGGTTATCTTTTTCTTAACCGTATCTAGGTTGGCCTCTGAATCCTTTGTTTTAAACAACTCCAACAAAGCATTCATCGCTGCATATTTCTTATCTCTGTTGTGATGATAGTCCGGAAGTTACACTTTGCATAAACACGGGTATGATTTGTATTTTTCTATTACTTCCAACACAAAGTCACGCGCGGACGTAGACATAATAATCGAATAATATATTTAATCCAATAAACAGTTTATGTTTGAGAAACAGAGCACATGTACCACCATCAACACCAAAACATTAACTGACACAATAACCTTCAAAAATGAACGCCGGTTCGCCCCTTTGAGCATAGAAAATCTATGCTCAAACGTTCGACCATACACTGACAATTCGGACTGCTTCCATTTGGCGTGGCGCACGTTTTTGACATTGATGGCCGTAGATGACGTCCATTTGGACTGGACGCATGGATTTCAATCCGTTTGGAAATCCAGAGCTGGATGAAGTTCATCCAAATGGAATATTTTTTTACCATTCACGGAACGATTATGGGCGATTACCACTCCATTTAGATTTATGGACGTATCGTCAGTGGGTACTTTTACAGTCATTAGTTTTTGATTTAATTAATTATAAAATGATTGTTGTTCATTTCATCATAGCCTTGACATGTTCAGGTTTTTGAGCAAAATTTTGCTGAAATGGAATATCCATTTTTTCATGTTTCGCCTTTGCATCAAAATCTTACAATTTTTATTAATATCCACTTATATACACTTTTATTAGGTAAATATAAAAAATATGGAGGTTTGGCGTTATGAATTGAGCTCTGAACATGACGCTAGATGACTTATTAAACATATTTCATTGTTTCCTTATGAGATTAATAGATACGGGTAGAGACCAAAACTGTGTCAGATCTATTTAATTCGAATTTCTAATTTATTTGTATGTATGTATGAATTTAAATTTTATATTAAATTACTACTGCGTTAATATTGACTGAATGTTACCACAATATACGAATATTGTGGCAACATTAACATTCAGTCATAAGAACTGGCAATAAAAAACTACACTTGACCAATATAACTGCCGACGTGTTGTAATAAATTAAACTTTTAAACTAGCCGATTGTATTCTAAAATCATTCAAAATCACTTAATATATAAATAAAGAATAAACTCTGAGGGTCAGATGTTATGTTTTATCAAATCTAAATCTTTATTTGTAAAAATATAATTCTACTAAAATTATTAACATACTTAGTCACATCGTTTATCTCGATTCAGATTGCTTATTAAAAAATCCATTCGTAAACGCACATTTTAGTGGCGCCCGTTTCAGGACTAAATTAAGTGGTAAGTGTGATTTTAATCTAATATTCTATGAATGTAAACAACGTTAGGTACTTCTTGACAGAAGCATTACGTATTTGACAGTCTAAATTTGACGTCTTGTTTAAATTAAAGGCATAATATGTAATTTTCAAGAATTTCACAATGTGTTTAATAATATCGGTAGCGCTACGGGACACTAGTTTGATTCCCATCCGTACCGTATGCCTATAAATCTAAATGTGTGTAAAACAAGGACTTCTATGAATAATACTAGACCGGCAATTTAGAAAAAAAAATTGTCTCAAAGCTGAAAACCGTACGAGCGTCGGCGCGGTGGCTAGCTGGCACAGTGAAATATGCCACGCAGTTGTATTTTCATTTACGACAACTACTGTTTTTAGGCAAATATGAAATAAAGTTACATATCTAAAATAAACTTCAAATCTCATTAACAAAGTACGCACATAGATAACGACAGCGTTTTCTTAGTAACATTAAACAAAATCAGTGCTAGATTGTCGAAAGCAACGTGTGCAGCTTACTAAACAAAGCCTCGCCCGTTCGCAGTCGACTAAATGTAATTTAGTGCGCAATGTATAAGTGTCGTAGTGTCCGTTTAGTAGTATACATAGAAATCTTTGTTGTAAAATATCTCTACGGCAAAAGAGCAAATCTTATAGAGGGTAAATGAGACGTTCCAAAATGTATTCTTTAGGCCGGGTTCTTGTACACTAGACTCAAAAATAGGGAAACACAATTTAAACCGTTCTCAACTGTCCAAATATTATATAATGGCTTTGTTTGCTGGTAAAGCACAGGAAATACACGTTTAGTGACATCTGACATGTTTATTTCACGTTTTTTTGACACTGTTGTTACAACTGACAGTTCTCTTTCTATGATCAGTGGTTGCTTTGTGGTTATCTGTCATGGCGTATAGAGGTATGTAGGTTCTCCTTATATCTCCCATAGGAGCATAGTTGAAAAAGATAAGCAGTAAATAACAGTTCAAAAACTCTCCACAACAGCGCTGGAGTAGCTACTGGGATGAAATGAACTTAGCAGTTGTCGACGGAGTGAAGAGTGCAGAGTTGAGGAATTTAATATTCGATATTTCTAGAGTAGTTGATAAAACTACAGTATTTAAAACCTCAACTACTCCTCACCATGTCTAAAATAATTTTGTAAATAAGTATAACCTAGAAAAAGATGCCGAGACACGTTGAGAGTGATTTTGAAAATAAAAATTTAGAAACAATAAAATAATTATTATAAAAAAGTATTATGGTGAGACTGTGCAATTAAAAATTATAAAAAGTTCTTTAAAATTTACCCTCTAGCTACTGTGGCGCCACCCTTATTTAGCGCTTTCCTACGGACACTTACAGTTTGTTCTCCTTATCTCTACACTCCATGTTATCTGTCTATAACCATAGAGTAACTTAAAGTTGTCTGTACATAGACCTCGCTCATTTTGAAACATCTGCTTTTTTAAATAAAGCAAATATTCTTTTGGTATTTAGTAAAGTGTGGCTAACCATTTTTCAAATTCGTAGAAATTGGACTAGAACAAACCTTAAATAGATAGGAATAAAACTAATTTACTGTGTGGCTAACGTACCGAATTGTATATTTTGAACATGATTGTACAAACTGGGGGTAGATAGGTGATACATAATGTTATACGGATATACGGACTGACACCAAACACCTAAAACATCACTGTTATACACACACAGTTTTAAGGAAATTAAGGTTTATTTGAATTTGTCATATTTTTTTCATATATCTTACTTTACGCCCGGTTTCTATATTAAAAAAAACGTTCCGTTCTTAATTTCGCTTTGTTTTATTAAGTACGCATTGCATGGGAAAATCATTATTGCAAATTATTCATTCAAAAATTAAATAACTTAACCCTTTCCCTGTCCCACGAATATTTATATGAACATTTCGATTGTTTAACTATTCTGTCTATATCGCGGACAGGGAAACGGTTAAGTTCGTCCATCCTTACTAAATTGCGATATTATACGAAGCGTTTTTTATAATATAGCAACCGGTAATTAATTTTTAATATATACTATCACAGATAATGTAGATATATACATCCTTTTAAATTTGTTTAAATAGCCTTTAGTGTAATTCTATTCGACTTAATTCATATTTTAAATTAAAGATTTGTTAACATATATTGGATTCTGATATACCTTCAGTGGGTTGGGATTTTGGGTTCCATGAGTTGTTTATTAAACCCGGTGTCGTAATTGTCTGCTACGCGGAAGGTTCCGTACGTGATTATGTAACTCGCTGAGGCATACTTGTATATAAACGCGTAGTTTTCTGTGTGTAAGCAATATTAGAATATTAAAATTTTCAAATAAAACACTTTGTGAATAACGTTTTATATCTGTTTTATTTATACTCCCTAGAAAGATTTTCTTTCTCATTTTTTTATTATCATCTGATTCACTCGTGAATTCATCGTTCACCACTGGTGAACATAGAGCAGAACATTGTTATCGTTATAGTACGAATGGGTCGGGTCGACTGGGGAAGGACCACGCTCTAACATAATACCACCGTAAAATAGCAGCTTAACTCAGCAGGAGTTTCATATAGTTTGTGTAGAGAACCTAATTACTGGAAACGAGGCATTCTATCTTAGCCCTTAGTCAAGCCCAAATCATCTGCGGTTTGATTCGTAATCGGGGAAAGATGTAGATGTGTAAGGACCACAGTGTCCGCTTACCATCATGTGGACCTTGTGCTCGTTTGTCACTCTTATTCTATAGAAAAATAGACCTGAGTTTTGGCAGGAATTTAATCGTCGGTAGATTGTTGATCTTGTATTTTCGTTTTAATAATGTTTGAAGTTGTTTGCCGCGTAAAAGTGATGTGATTTCGTGTATTAAATGTCTGCTCGTGTGAAATAAGAGGAAACGATGAAACAAGTGCTTAATAAAGCGCACCTCAAGTTTTTGTGTCTGTTTAATTAAGCACACGTCAATCTGTCGTCAATCTCCCAAAAACTTCGTAAAGTGATACATCGACATATTATTGTGAAGAAGTTTTAAAACAAATTATCTTAAAGCACAATTTGATAATACTTGACATTGGCAAAAGCACAACCGTACGAGTCCATCGATTCCTGGCATGTTTCATGAGCGTGTCCCACCATCTTGGGTTCTTGGGAGAGGTCGCCAAATATCGCGCTTGTCAGTACGAGGCGAGGTAATCAGTTCGAGAGAGAAAGGCTTCTCTCTCTCTCGAACTGACTACTCGATAAGGGAGGCTTTAACAATCTTTCTTCCCTATCGGTTCTGGGTCCTTAATTATGTCCTCCAGACCAAATTTCGGCTACGGCAGTTAGTCACAATGGAGACTAGTCATCAGCGAAGGACAGGATTTTAGTGCTCGACTGTATGTGTAAGCACAGATGCACTGATCATTCCCTTACTCTCATCCAGTACGGTAGACGGTAATCCGACACGAAGGAAGAGAGATCAGGCGCAGGACTAACGGCTCTACGTGCTTTCCGAGGCACAGAGGTAAAGAGACACCGCCAAAATATATTAAAACAATCTTAAGAGTCGTTCTATTTATTTTTATAACAATATTTTTTAACAAAATATACTTAACTAGTTTTGCAGTATAATACTGTCTTGTTGTTTTTAACACACGGAACACAAAACAATATAAGCTCAAGTTCTTAATACAACTGAAATTAAATAATGCACTATTTGGAATTATTCTGTTTCGAAATGTATAAACTAGTAGACAGTAGTCGAAAAATTTTCAAGATATGTATAAATATACAACATACAAAAAAAAATACAGTACAATAAATGCAATTGTGCAATTGCAAAGGTTCACCGAAGCATCATACATTTCGCTCTAATATGTGTTCAAAATTTTTGGATGATGGTCAGTTTACAAATACCATATCTTACAATATTGACTAGTAATAATGCCGCACATTTATTTTATATGTTCTTTTATTAGGGGCTAACTTAAATATAAAAGTTGATGGTCCACAGCAAGTCAAAAATTAGTCAAAAGTTCAATTAGGTTCTCGATCACTAAATGGTTAAGAGACACTAATGTCCATTGTATTGTATACCATTGTATACCACGATTTAATAAAATTTGTGTTTTTTTTTAATTAAAGTAATAAACAAGCTAAAAATTCACCACCTTATAGCATTTTTTTAAATAGAATATGACAAACGAGCACAGAGTCCACCTGATGGTAAGTGAATGCTGGTCGCTATAGACACCTGCATAACTTCATATGTCACCGATTTTGAATTAAAATTCAGATGCGTTATCACCCCTGAGAGCTAAGACGGAATACCTCGATTCCAGTAAAGCGGTTCTCCGGCTCTCTACACTGACCATACGAAACACAATAGCATTGAGCCTGCTACTTTACACTGATATTCTGTAAGAAAGTGGTCGGCGGTCGAGTCGACCCACTCGTGCTACAACCATAATATAGCTTCAGCGTGGCTCTACCACGTAAAAATAGTACTATTCCTTATGACTGTAACAGAGTGGTACACCAACGTAAGTCTTTATCAGAAACCCCACTACATTAGTAATAATACCACAGCATTTGAAAATTTCGCTCCATTCAATTCGTCGTGAATCACAGGCGGATCTGACCATTACAGCCTATTAAAAGTCCACCTCTGAACAAAGGCCTCCCCATGGGTTACCTTGTAAGGGAAATATTTGTCATAGTTACTACGTTTTGCACGTTGTAACTGAACAGACGCTGCTGCTCTTCTCCTGGTTTCTTACAACACCTACACCTACAGGACGATATGGACTAGTGCATATTCTACGCGGCAAATACAGGTGAATCTAAATAAAAATTTTCCTCTTCCTGTATGCCACTTTGATCCAACAATGTGGGTATAAAATATTATTTCTAATGCCACTTCGATTAGCAGCGTGGATCATACTCAAAAAAATTATTTAAATGCATCAAATTCAACGGGTACAACCATATGCTTCATTAGAAGAATACCCTACAGTTCAACTATTAATCTATAATTTAGTCTATTCATTCATAGATCGTGTGAAATACCTGTGAAGTATGATTATAGATCCAAGTGAACGAAACAGAAAATTTGTTCTCCAAACCAAATTATCATAATTACAATATTTGTTGCAATCAAATATTTAAATAATTGCTTTTCACATAATACAAAAACTAATTGTGTGTCAACATTAAATTTTTTCTTCTTAATTTGCGTATTTTGGTGTGTATAATTTTTTTTAAATATTAAAGCTGCACTATTAAAGAAACAAATCTTAAATGTCGGCTTGTGGTTGAGTTCACAGAAGAAAGTAAGGTCAGCAAATAAATCATAATTTATTTTTAATTTTTATATTAAGTTATACATTAAAAATGGTATGTACGTATCATTGGTTTATATGAATAGAAATAACAAAACTAAACAATAATAGAAGACAAGGAGTTTTGACAATTTAAAAAAATGTATATGCAAAGCGAAATAAGACTATTATTTTTTCATACGCATCACACGTGACGTGTGTAAGTATATACAGCAATAATATGCGAGGACATGCTTAGCGCGCTCATTTTAGATTCGTTTCTTTAATGGCACGAGTTTAATCTATCTATCACTTTGATTAACTACACGACAATCTTCCGAGGAACCGTCTACTAGTTAAACCAAGTGCCATAAGCATACACTGGAACAGTGACAAGCTTATTTGGGTATGTACTTGAGCAGTTTGATCTCGTGCGTGAGCCAGATGGCGAGGGTCAGGAGTACGAGGGAGCCGGACTGGTGGCTGGCAGCCAGCGGTGTGGGCACGTAGGTTAGTAGCGTCGATATGCCCAGGCCCACCTGTGGAGTGGTATAATATTTATATAGAACATTGTATGGAAAAGGATTTTTAAACATCATACAATAAAATAGCATTTTTTGCTTCAGTTATAAGTAGCATGCCAAAGTTTTTGTATTACCATTTCCGATTAATAGAATTCTTAATACTATAAGAATTATTTTATGTAGCCATTCGTGTAATCTTGAATTAAATAATATATGGCTTAACTCAAATTCATTTTCTCAAATTCATTTTCTACAGCTTCGAAGCTTCTTGACAGTCAAAGCATACTATAGCGTAACAGAATTCTTGACTGAATTTTTTTTTTGAGATTAAGACAGTATAATGTTAAAAATCTGAATTATGTTTGTTTTAGTGTTATTATTATATTTTGTTATAACTGTTTAGGTGATTAGTTTATATTTCTATATATTTTGCATGCCTACTGGTAAAATATGGCTGAACTCACTTTTCTATATTACCATGTACTGTACCCATATTTCGTCTGTCGAAAACAGTAGTGGAACATCTCTGAAAATTTGGTTTTTAACTTTTTAAGAGTGTTACATTACTATTTCAGTGCCAATTCTATATCAGTATCGGAATAAGTCAAACTCCACATAGAAGTCGATTAAAAATAAAAGTTCCACTTCTACTCTGTGCATATAGTATTATTCAGTATTGGGACACTTCGAAATGTTCCAATGCGGTTCTAATCTCAAAATCAAAAGTTGAATTAAATTTATTCCACCACGTTTCTCGATCTCGCTCGAGTCTCGCGCGCGTTCGTTTAGTTACGCGCTGCATGCTGCGCTTGGTAGACAGACGTATTGTCAAAAGTAATACAATCTGCAAAAATGTCTGTGTCTAAGTTATATGGAAGATCAATGAAAATGTTGCAAATGGTAATCCATGAAGACGCCAATATTGAAAACAAAGGTGTGTATTCTATTTGTAACGTTTGTGTATTTTGTAAAGGGTCGTTACTTTTAAAATTTTGCACGCTTTGGCTATATTTTAACCACTTTTATTAAGCAAGTTGAAGAGTATTCTTTGCCACAAAATGAAGTACAAAGTCTAGGTATAACTTATGTGTTTTATAAGATATGCTTATTTATTAACTTTGTGTTTTATATCTAATACATGTTATTAAACATTCTGTCCTATTAACTGCTTTAATTGCTTTTATGATGCTGAACAGACATTGAACATAGAAAAATCTCCAGGCACTATTTTTATATCTAATAATAATGAAGTTGGTGAGATACAGCAATATATTGAAGAGAATTCTTTGCCCCTGAATGAAGTACATAATAGAGGTACGTACATTATATTATTTTTGTGTTTTTGTATAGTGTGTATATTTAACTGTTTGAATTTCTTTTAAGGTGTTGAGCAGGCAATTAATATGGAAAGTTGTACAGACAATAGGTTCGTAGCCAGCCAGCATGAGCCAACAAATGAAGCTTCTAATCTAAGTATGATTTTTTATACTATTTTAAATAGCTTGCTGACTATCAACATGTATTTCATAGTTCTAAATTATTTATGCAATAGCTTTATACGAGGTCTTTGTTTGCTTAGGTGGCGAGCTTATTGAAATTTTACAGGGAGGAGAAGATAAAGAAAATAATATACTATTATAACAGAGAGCCGTCACCATCAACCCCGCTTTCTAAAAATAATGCTTCGCAAGAAAAGAAGAAATTGACAAGAAAGAGACAACGAAATCCCGAGTCATGGAAGAAAAATAAAAAGAAATGTTTAAAAAATTCAGGTATGGCTTACACTACTGAGAAAGGAAAATTAGTTAATGCTAAACAATTAAAACCTGGTTGTGGAGACAAATGTCGGTTGAAGTGTACACTGAAGATTAATGAGAGCAAAGATTAGTAATATTCAATAATTTTTGGATATTAGGTGATTTGAATAGACAGCGAGATTTTGTCGAAAATGCTATGAAAGAAGTAAAGCCAAAATATTCGCTACATAATGCTCAGAGTAAAAGATCTATTAATGCGGCTTAACAATTAACAGTAGACTATGGTATAATTATAAGGGTATGTAAAAAGTTCTTTATGCACACTTTGGATATTGGGCACTCATTTATAACAACGGTATGTAAGAAAACAACATCATGGGGTATAGTTTTAGAAGATTTAAGAGGTAAGCATAACGAGAAAGGTAAACTATTACCTGACTTTGTTAAGGATAGAGTACGTGAACACATAAACTCATATCCTACAAAGGAATCCCACCACTGTCGGGCATCATTGAATAAACAATATTTTGATGGTGATTTAAATCTATGTATGATGTACAGGCAATACAAGGAGTGGTGTAATAAATAAGGTAAGCCTGAAGCTAAACAAGGAACGTATGAAAACATTTTTAGAACTGAATTGAATATAGATTTTCATGTACCAAAGAAGGATCAGTGCTCTCTTTGCTGTTCTTACAATAATGCAACAACAGAACAGAAACAAGAAATGGAAAAGAGTTATAAAGATCATCTTACAGAAAAAGAGCTTTGCAGAGAAGAGAAGAGGATAGATATAGAAACATGCAAAAATGACAAACATAAGATTATTTGTTGTTATGACATGCAAGCGGTTTTTCAAACTCCAGCGGGTAATGACTCGCTATTTTTTTTATAAGAGACGCCTTAATGTTTATAATTGTACCGTATATGACATCGTTAATAAATCTGAACATTTTTATTTATGGAACGAAACTTTGGGTGGAAAAGGATGTGACGAGGTAGGATCTTGTATTTTACAGTTTTCAAAGAGTTTTGTCATGGAAAACATGTTATATTTTATACCGACAATTGCTCAGCACAAAATAAAATAAGTATTTATTGTCATTATACTATTATGCCTTAACAATGTTGGGTGTGAAATCTATAACACATACATACTTTGTTGTCGGGCACACTCAGGACGAGGGCGATAGCGTTCATGCCACTATTGAAAGAGAAAATCCCGAATATTAAAAAATGGTTCCGTGTTCGTGCCATCTCAATGGAGGACAATTATACAATGTGCTAAGAAGAAAGGTAATCCCTACTAAGTTCATGATTTAGATTATTCAGACATTTTTGATTTAAAAGACCTAATTTCACACTTTGGGAAAAATTTTACAATAAATACAGAAGGAGAGCGTGTAGTGTGGAATGATATCAAGAAAATATTTATGCAAGCTACTAATCCTTTCGCTATTTATTACTTGGATACTTATCAACCTGACCGTACAATGAAATGCTTCAATGTTCGGCATAAAATGCGGGGCAAGCCTAACGAAACATTCGTTTTGACAAATAAATATCGCACTCGTCCTGGAATATCAAATCTTAAAAAGAAAGATTTGATTTCATTATGTGATGGTAAAGTAATTCCAAGCGTTTATTGTAATTATTTGCTAAGGTTCTCTAGATTTCATTTTTATTTAGTTCATTATTTAAGAAAAAAAAAACAGTTTTTTAATTCAGTACTGGTACATTCAAAAATAATCTATTATCAGAGGGATATTTGCAGTCAATAAATTAATTCAGTAGTGGAACATTTCAAATATTTACTTATACTTAAAAAACAAATAATAAAAAATGAATGAATTTAATAGAAATCATAAATGTAAAGTCTAACCAAAATATAACAACATTAAAAACAATCCTTTTTTCTCTTAACACTTGCTAAATGGAAAAATAAGTATTTCTAATTTTTAATTGCTCAATATCTCACATTTACTCATTTTGAAATGTTCCACTACTGTTTTCGACCGACGATTTGCAAAATAAAATATCTTTTGTCTTTACCTTTATCAAATTATATCTTCATTTTCTCTACATTTTTTTATAGAATAAGGGTGACAAGCAAGCACACAATCCACCTGATGTTAAGTGAAAGCTGTGGCCCATAAACATCTACATCTATCCTCGAAAATGCAGATGCGTTGTCACCTTTGAAGACTACAATGGAATGCCTCGTTTCCAGTAAAAAGTTTCTTCGGTTCTCTACACTCACCATACGAAACATAGCACCAGCATTAAGCTGCTATTTAACGCTGGTATTCTGTGAGAGCGCGGTCCTTTCCCGGTTGAGCCGCTCCATTCGTGCTACAACCATATATTGCTGCCCTATGGTTCTGACACGTATAAAAAGATTTTACAAACCTTATACAATAGGCAGGTTTAAACATGGTAAAGCCGTGCTGCTGCTATATAGTCCTCAGAGATGACAACATATCTGTATTTTGATTTTTAAGCATTAAGCTATTACGTACTACGTACTAGAGGCGACACTGCATTCCGCTACTATGTTCCACTCAACTGCGGTGCATACACCGCACTTTAATCAGTCACTCGCTAGGCGCTTGTAGAGTTGTCACGTGTTGTGTTGATTTAAAAAAAATCTCTTGATAAAAATATGACGTCGTGTGTACTTTAGATATTGCACAAATAATTCATGACATGTCAGTAAAAACCAAGGAATTACTTGTCATCAGTTAATAAGATACTTAATCAATAAAAAAGTATTATAGATTAATAATAACACAAATTATTCCTAAGACGCCATCTCGTGTCATGGGATATAGATTATGAAATTAATATGTTCAGATGCGACATTTCTGTGGGTACTTAAAAACTTAATAAATTCGTCCATTTTTAACTCTCGCGTGCCCAGCATTTATGAACGATTCTTATTCTAATTTAAATAAATATATTTGTAATTTAAATGTTATGTTAATAAGTTTTGTTAAACATACATTTAGTATTTTTTTTATATTTGACACAGATACCTTTTAAAATATTCAGATAAAAATATCATTAAAATGAAATTGTGATAAAATATTATGTAATATTATATTAAATAAGCAAAAATAATATACAAAATAAATGATAAAATTTAAATATTGTTCTCGATGTAATTTACCTATTTAACAATACTATCTACTATTACCTACGCGTGATTCTACCTATGTTTATTCTATGATAAAAAAAACAACCGCGCAAACACAGAGTAGCGCACATTTTTTGTTTGAGATAGCTGTTCTAGTACGTAAGTACATATTACTTCAATGTTTTTAAGCGAGAAGAGATTTTTTAATAGATGTAGATGTCTATGGGCCGCAGTATCCACTTACCACGAGGTGACTGTGTGATCGTTTGTCAACGTTATCCTATAAAAAAAATATTTTGTTTCGGTTATGCATAGCATGCATATTTTTTTGTACATTATCATTTTATGGTTGATGAAATCCTTAACGCTATAGAAAATATTTTAATCTAGCCATTCGTGTAATTTTGATTTAAATAATGTACGGCCTTACGGGTTAACAGTATCAATAGCGAAAACCCGCTAAGAACGGTATAACGTTATATTATTCAGTAATTTGGAAATTTTCTGCTAATCGGAAAATATTTAAAAAGAATTTTATACCCAAGTAGGTACCTTAATTTTACGATAACATTTATAGCGACTCGCTTAACCTTCGCTTGGGCGTGCTCTAATTGATGCCTTAAGATAATCATTAAAAGACCAATTATTTTATTTTATAAAAAAAAAGTAAAGAAAGTTACAGCCTATATACATCCCACTGCTGGGCTCAGGCCTCCCCTCATTTCTGAGAGGGTTTAGGGCAAGGAAGTGTCCGCCGCGCTGCCCAAATGCGTGTTGACGAACTTCACATGTCTTCGAAATATTTTTTTTTCTTATTCCTCAGACATGCCGGTTTCCTCACGATGTTTTCCTTCACCGCCGAGCACGTGGTAAATCAGCACTTAAAATTGCAACTAACAATTTCATTGGTGCCGGCGGGGATCGAACCCGGGTTACTCGCGTTCTGTTATATTTGCAGCGAGCGTTAACCACTGAGCTACCACGGCTCTTATTATATATAAATATTTCTATTTTAATAAAATCTCTAAACTTTTCGTACAAAGTTTAGTCCAGTTCATTGCTGGTATTATTCCCTATTTTTTCGTTAAGTTTTATAACAATTGGTTCAACCACTCTGAAGATTAGCTCGGACAGAAAGACAAACGAAAATTTCAGAAATGGTTACTCATGTATAATTTTGCTGTCAATACCGGCGGTGTGAATGTATAGCGACAGTGAGCGAGCGAGAGGTGAATAGAGGCGACGCCATTTTCAATCCCATTCTTTAACCGCGCGGGTAGTATTAATTATTACGTCAATTAATTGGTCATTATATGTTTTGACTAATAAATAAATCGTATAAAAATGTATTTAATTGCTCCGATAGTCGATATATGTCAATACCGATGTTAATTAAACAAAACTAATGTAATTGATAGAATAAGGCGTTACTTTGCGGAAATACATTATAATAAATAATTTATTACTTCGCAACCTTTCGCTAACTAATAACAGCGTTAAACTAATGTTAATAATTTACAAATTATTGAATTTTAATTTTTTAAACTGTTAATAGTTTTAAGTTTTCACTTCTGTTGCCAGTCTCCAATGACTGCTGAATTATTTAATCTGTGCTTCTGTTACAACATAATTTAATCCGTGCTTCTGTTACATTTAAGGCTATAATTAAAGGCGTTTTAAAAAGAGTCCCATGTTGGTCTGGGACTTATAGATTCCATGTTTACATAGGGCTTATGACAAGAAAGATTTTGCTAACTGTGTTGCTTGTCTAGCTTGTAAAATGCGACTAACAGGATATTGGGTTTGTGATTTTGTAGGTGATAGACTAAGTCACCTATTACTTAATTTACAATTTGTATCTAAACCCTTATTTTTGGCTACACGCAGTCCGAGAAGCTTGCTGCTCTTTGGACTTTGCCCAACCTTCGGACATTACAAGCATAATCTTATGGTTGGACATTTCTTTATTTATTTACTCACAAACGTTTTAAAACCTAACAGAAGAGTATCCACCCAAAACGCATATAAGATTAGATTAAGTACATATATCGAATTAAAATTATTAATTTTTACATGCAAACATTACCTAAAATAACCAAGTTGATTTGAAGTTGATTTATATGACATTATTTGTGTCGATGAGGGCTAACAATCTTGCGCTCACTCACCAGATGTCGCTTTTAGGGACTGAGGTGAAGTTTTTGTTACGCAATGTCATTTAATTGAGAAGTTAGTTTTAATTCAAACTTTATTATAGTTTCTAGAGTATTATAAAAATATACAAAACAATGCCTCAGTGCTGTATTTTTTAGTTTTTTTACAGATATCAAACATTTTTTATTTTATTTTTACTTTTAGAAATATTCGTAATTTGATTTATTTATTTCTAATGGTACCCAGTACCCACTGACGATACGTCCATTAATCCAAATGAAGTGGTAATCGTCCAAAATCGTTCCGTGAATGGTAAAAACATATTCCATTTGGATGGACTTCATCCAGCTCTGGATTTCCAAATGGATTGACATCCATGCGTCCACTCCAAATGGACGTCGTCCGCGGCCGTCCGTCGATGTCAAAAACGTGCGCCACGCCAAATGGAAGCAGTCCGAATCGTCAGTGAATGGGCGAACCGGCGTCCATTTTTTGGACGTTATTGCGTCAGTTAATGTTTTGGTGTTGATGGTAGTACATGTGCTCTGTTTGTCAAGCATAAACTGTGTATTGGATTAAATATGTTTTTATTATGTAAACTATGAACTGTGTATTGTGCAAGCGAGTACACAGTGCACATGATGTTAAGTTGACCCATAGACTGAATCTGTCATCGAATAAGAATCAGAATGTAAATGCATTGTCACCCCTGTAGAACTATGTGGAGTGCCTCGTTTCCAGTAAAAATATTATCCGGTTCTTTACACACAGCATACGAAACGCAGCAGATTTAAGCTGCTATTTTATGCTATTTTGTGAGATCTTGGTCCTCCTTCATTCAAGCCGACCCATTTGTGCTACATCCATAATTTCAACCTCAGTCAATGATATTGCTCCACCATAATATATACCATATCTAGAACTGGAGTGACAAACTAGCACACAGTCCACCTGGTGGTGGGCGCTGTGGCCCATAGACGTTTACATGTATCCTCAATTGAGAATCAAAATATAGATGCGTTATCATCTTTGAAGACTACGATAGACTGTCCCGTTAAGGTTTTTTGTCTTTTTAATGAACCACACGCTGCTGCTGCCGCCGGTAAAGTATTATTATCCATATTATTCTTTATTTCCATTCCGTACGACTGCCAAGTTCGAAGTGCCGCTATGCGTCCAAATGGAAGTATCTGGATACATTTTTATTTGGAGTGCATCCATTTGGAAGTATGCTAAATGGACGTATCGTCAGTGGGTATCTTAACATTATTTCATAATTAATATAAAATATAACAAATATTTCAGAAAGAAGCATTAATCTCTACAGTTTTCTAGCAAATTAACTTCCTTCACCGTGAAATTTCTCAAATATTTCAACTTACGTCCTTGTGGCCGACAAAGTCGTACATGGCCACGACTTTGTCGGCCTGTTGTTTGTCATTGTTTGAATCAAATAAGAAGATTACTATTTAAATATCAATAAAATTAATGTCATATAATAAATAAAGATATCAGTGTTACCTGAAGCCAGGCCATAGCAGCTACAGCGTTGGCAACACGCCTGGCAGCCGGTGCCAACGGACGGCGACGAGCCACCAGCCACAGAGCACTCGCAGCTGCCAGGGTGCAGGTTCCCAGCACCCGGTGGTCGAATTGCACCGTGGTGGGGTTCTCCGTGAAGTTGCGTGCAATGGGGTTGAATGCCAGGATATCGTCCGGGATCCACCGCTCACCCATCTTGGGGAACGAGTTGTACACCAGACCGGCGTCCAGCCCCGCTACGAAGGCGCCTTGCGATGGAAACGTAAAGTTTGAAAATTAGACATTCAAGAAAATGTTACGTTAGACAGTGTTACCCGACGACTTCGTGGCGCAATGCCTTAACAATGAGTTGTAGCGCTTAGGATTGAAATTCAAACGGAACAAGTATTTGTATGGCTTACAAATTATTGTTACAAGTCTGGATGATTGTTGAAATTTATGTATGTAAACTACAGAAGAAAAGATCATAATACAGAATAAAATCATAGTGTGAGGGTAACGTTATAAAATAAGACAAAATTAAAACAAGCATAAATATTTGGAAACATCAGAATAGGAAATAGTATAGTAGTGCTCTGTTGCTTCCGAATATTTTCAAGACTGACCTACATTAATCCGACACGATCTCCTACCTGTGCAAGTTACAGAGATAGCTACGCTCAAGGTCCCGCTGCGTATTAATGGAAATATATTAATAGGACTATTTATATCCATGTTGATTAATATACCAGATTTTTAAAACGAACTAAAAATATAAAGTAATTTCCCCTAGACTCATACATATCAAAGAGACCGCCAAAATAAGCTAAAAATAGAAACGGTCCTATAATCAACCCTTGAGGACCACCCTTCCGCATGACTGAATTACTGAACACAATAGGCCGTTTATATCAACAATATTTATGTGCTCACGTTGTAGCCATTGAAAACGAATAAAAATATCAAGTTAAGGTCCAGTACGTAGTTACTAGGGCTATAAGCAAATAATGTTTCGTGCTGTACTCATTCTAAGGTTTTTGAAAGATCAAAATACTTCCCAAGACTGCATAATATGAACAATTTATTTTACCCGAATATGGCAGAGGGTAATGCTTTTCGAGTGTATGTTTGTATTTATATTTCTTTAGAACGCTTTGGTACATAAACAGCTTGATAGATTTAATATATGAGTGTCGTTAGATTTGTATTAATTGTGGAAGTTACATAGGTATAATATTAAAAATTTTCTCTTTTCAGTTAAAATTTTTTACGCAGTTAGATTTTCTTAAACTACTGTTTTAACTATTATAGATTAATTTAATCAATGAACCGTTCCCCAATTCTGCATGAACATTACTCTTTTCTTACTTATTAAATGTACACACACTCATACACACACACACGAATCCGTGTGTGTGCGTGCGTGCGTGCGTGCTTGAATACTATCCCGCCTTGTGGTAAATGGTAATAAAGCCCTAGATGTTAAATCGCACTGTCTTAGCGTAACGAACTTCTGTGTTCTCAACATTCATCATTTTAGAATAAGGGTGACAAACAAGCGCACAGTCCACCTTATGGTAAGTGGATGATGTGGTCCATAGAAATCCATATCTATTATCAATAAAGAATCAAAGTGCAGATGCCTTGTCACCCGTGAGGACTAGGATGGTACATCTCATCATATGAAACACAGCAAGCAGCATTAAGGCCGAATACGAAGAGAACTGGCGAAAATTAATGTATTTCTCTTGACTAGAACTTTGACCTGAAGTAATTCTAAGCTTTAAAACATTTTTGTAGGTTTGTTTGGGTCCTTCACAAGGTCACCGTCATTTTAAAATTCTAAAATAAATGAATATACCAACAAATAAAAAAATGTTAAGAAATGATATATAAAATTATTGTTCTTCCAAAACTCTGTGAATTTTAATTTAGGAAAAATTCTTTTACGTAAAAATGTTTGTATTGTGATTTCGAAGGTACCTGCTATCTTTATTTTCGATACAAAATATTATTTATTAACATAATTCGTTTTAATTAAAAACACCTAATAATAATATCGTATATTGCCAGATAAAAGTTTGCCGTAATAAATTACCAGGCGCTTCGACGTGTGACGTAAGGTAACAACAGTCGATGTGTATGTAGCGAAAATCGTTAATTTAGTGTTTTATACGCGTTTAAGTGTCTATAAATGTAAATATGGGTAGGAAAAGAAATAAATGTTACCTAAGTGGTAAAACAAAGAGAGTTTATCGCATGAACGCTGCTCGAATGTTGTATTTTGAGGTTAATACTTATATTTTTGTAAGGTAATTTTTTGTTTGAGGATACCTAATAGGTTGCATTTTTACTCATATACATTAGCCAAACTGATCATTTATACTTTTCTAGTTTCAATTGAGAAACACTAAAAATGTAAATATCAAGACCCAGTCGGAAAAGAATGTACAGAGTAGTGCAAGCACAGAGACCGCAAATAATGTCATAGTCAATGTATTGTCCGAAAGCATGGGGTAAGTACATAATTAAGAAAAACCGAAATACTTCGGATGTGAAGTGATTGACCAGTCGGAGTAGTCGTGTGAGAATTTACATACACAGTACCTATCCCCACTATGGGGCAGTCACCGACTTTTTAATTTTTTTTCTTCATTATTTATGCAATTTGCATTACGGCATCTTGTAAGACTCACAAGAACAAACATTTTCAGTTATATGAGGTTCTTTACGTACGATGCACCAATTAAGAAAAAAAATCGTTATCAATTCAATAACTTTTCGAACAATATTTTATAACGAATAAAGTACAGAATTTATAATCTATAGGAACTAATATTATAAATAAGAAAAATTTATTTAAGAAGTAAGCAATGCTCTCTGTGTTGTTCATTACTCTGCATCTGAGCTAGCTCAGTCAAATATAATCAAAGCCCGTACGGCTTTGATTATAGGTATTATACATGTCTATATAAACAAAGCGTAGGTACTGGCGGCGCGTGGTTTGCTGCGAAACGAGCAAGGTCATTCGCGTCGTATTCGGCCTTAAGCTATATGCAGCACACGCTAGTATTCTGTGAGAGGGTGGTGCCACTCCGGTTGAGCCGACCCATTCGTGCTACAACTATAATATAGCTACAGCATAGCTCTACCACGTATAGATTCATTTAATACCAACCTGAAACAGCCGTTAAAAAGGCCATCGCTTTCACAGTGTGAGCAAGCGCTGTAACGCCCTTTAACGCCTTGATTTTCTGTAAAGTGGCGGCTACTGGCAAGGGACGAAGTATCCGCAAAGCTCCGGCTACCAAACCGGAGTACAGAATGAAAGCCAGACTTAAATGCGCTGCTAATCTGTACTGAGATACCCTAGGTACATCCGATGGGCCTTGGAACCGGTCCTCTAAGCCTGATTTCACCATATACCAGCCCATCAAGCCCTGTAAAATTAAAAAAATATGATTTAATAATATTGTACTTGGAAAGTTATTTCAAAATTTATAGTCCGAGAGCTAATGTTGATTTTTGGAAAGGTATTAAAAACACTTATTTAACGACTGGGGAAAGACCACGCTCTCACAGAATACCAGCGTGAAATAGTAGCTTAATGCTGCTGTATTTCGTATGGTGAGTGTAGAGAACCGGAGACCCTTTTTACTGTAAACGAGGCATTCCACCTAAGTCTTCGCGGGTGACAACGCATTTGCATTTTGATTCGTAATCGAGGATGGATGTAGATGTCTATGTGCCACAGCAACCGCTTACCATCGGGTTGACTGTGTGCTCGTTTGTCACCCTATCCTATAAAAAAAATATTCCAGCTATTAAATCTTCTCAACGAAGTTCAGCAGTCCTTCGATGTTACCGTCTAAGACATAGATATAATTTTTCATAGAGATAATATGGAAGAGGTACTTAAAACATTAAATCTAAAAGTAGACTAGCATTTTTTGTCTAAAAATTTATATTTCTATATCATCATCATCATCAGCCCTTAAATGTCCACTGCGGGTAATGGTCCTCGTTATAAGCAGGTTTTGCCAATTCTCGCTTGACAAACTGATTACAGCTTGAGGCTGCACCTTTGAAGCTTCCCGTCGCCGATCTGATTATTTTATGAATGCTGGCAAACGAGACTAAAAAATGGAAGAGCAATATTATGTATCTTTGGAGTATTCTTTTATAAACTGAAGAAACAAACAAGGCCGTGTCAGGAAGGTCAAGGCCGCTCAGCGAGTTATGCAGAGGCTTATGCTAGGTGTTTCTCTGCGTGATGGACTTAAAAATGACGATGTCCACAGTAGAACCAGAGTAACCGACAGAGCACAAAGGATTAGTAAGCTGAAGTCGCAATGAGCCGCCCATATACCAGGAATAACCGACAACAGATGGGGAAAAAGGTTCTCAAGCAAGAGGTACGGCTGTTTGCCGGCAGAATAAGATAAGAGAGTAGTCTAAGTAGTAGAACTGCTTTTCTCCATAGGAGTTCACTTAGGCTACTTGGATCTTGTATTTCTTTTATAATTATGAAAATATTACTTTTTATCGGTGCATCGCAGACATAGAGCAACACCTCCCACCGGCGGATCAGAGAGGAGTAGCCATACGGAGGAGTTTTCCTCTGTCAAAGTATAAGTCCACGCAGTCCTTACAATAAAACTAGTCGCAGCCGCACTACTCACTAGCCTAAATCTAGTTGCGCTACTTTTATTTTTTTTATAGGTAGGTAACCAGTGATGGTAAGTGGTTCTTGCCCATGGATTTTGATATTAGCGCGACTTCGTGTTTGGTCTACTGAATCGACGTCCTATAAAAATGCCAAATATTGTAATCACATTTTTGTTATTTACTTCTTTTTAAACTTAAGTTATAATAATAACGGTCGTGTTGTTTCGGATTTGTTTACCAACACACGCACCTCGCCTTCATACAATAAACACATCCGTCGAGCGACTGATTCGAGACTGTGTCCGAATGGTCGCTGTCACCAAGCGATACTGTTTATGTATCCATGTGGATGTGAAATTGTTGGTTCGTATTTGTAGTTACAGACGACTGTTTGCAATACGCAAATTTTTAACGTGGTAGAGCCATGCTGCAGTTATATTAGAAGTATAGTTGTAGCATGAGTGGGTCGGCTCGACCGGGGAAGGACCACGCTCTCACAGAATACCAGCGTGAAATAGTAGCTTAATGCTGCTGTATTTCGTATGGTGAGTGTAGAGAACCGGAGACCCTTTTTACTGTAAACGGGGCATTCCATCTTAGTCCTCACGGGTGACAACGCATCTGCATTTTGATTCGTAATCGAGGATGGATGTAGATGTCTATGGGCCACAGCAACCACTTATCATCAGGATGACTGTGTGCTCGTTTGTCACCCTATCCTATAAAAAAAAAAGAATTGACCCGCAAAAAATGATAGAGAGTTCTGTATCGGGAAAAATCTATGGCTACTACGGTCCAGTGGTGGCCCGAGTTGTTTTATGACCTTAGCTCATTAATAAGAAAAAAGACGGATCGCTGCGTTTACAAGTGACGCAAAAAGCAATACAAAACCATGTTCCACTTATTGTGAAAGCATACACTTACGTGCACGTATGTATCTAAAATCATTTGTAAATAACAAGATTTGAGGTGCATATGTCTGCGTCCGTAGTCAACTTTTATGGGTTAGTAAAAAAATCATACTAAGTTTAAGTTTAAAATCATATTAAGGTTAAGTTTTAGTATTGTTATAATGTGTTACCTGTGCGGCTACGAGGGCGCAGTAAGCAGCGACTCGGATCTTCATGCCGCGGTCCAGATATCCTCTCGCCCAGAAGAAGGCAGCTGGCAGAAACACTGCGGCGCCTATAGCGCGGCCCCACGTGCGGTGCGCGAACTCCATCCACCAGATCCACTTGAACTCCGACAGGGTTATGTGCTGGTTCTTGCTGGACGACAACATCTCTCTTTTTATAATGATTTCATATGTTTACGAATTTAAATAAAACTAGTTCTTCCCTAAAGACAAATAAAAAGCCGCGTAAAAAAAAAAACAAGCTAAACACCAAGCTACCAAACTTACTAATTAATCTAATTTTAGTTTACCGCTTCCAAAACTTTATAAAATATAAATATCTTAAATCTTGATTCTTAAACATTACGAAAGAGTATAATATAATCACTACGTTTACACATTACTTTCAAAGTTTGCTTATATTCAGCTTTCTGGGAACAACTTGGACTCAGTACAGTTTGTCAATAGCCCACAGTTGTACATAGGCCTCCCCCACATTTTTTCTCTTTGATTTACATTACTGCCTCATTTGTCTAGTCCCAGGTTCGAATACCGAGTCGGGCTAAAAACTAGTTATTTAGTTTTTCTGTCAAGTTATTCTCAATAGTGGTCCGGAGTCAGAAAATTGGCAATGTTTCGCCCCCACGCCTCGGAAAGCACGTATATCCGTTGGTCCTGCGCCTGATCTCTCTCCGATCGTGTCGGATCGGACTATGAGAGAGAATACAGTGCACCTGTGCTTGCGCATACACTCGGGCGCAATAATTTGGTCCCGTGCAGATGGCTGGTTTTCATTGCGACCGGCGTCGTAAACGAAATTCTTTCTGGAGAGCATTATTTGCATCAGTTGTCACGTTTGGCAAGCGGGTTACCAAACGCAGTTTTTTCAGGAAGATATTAAACCCCACGTCCTGTTTTAGTTTCTCTCTATCTATTCTCAAGACACCCACGGGTGTTACGAGTTAGTGAAATCTAATACGCCGCCACTCACGGTATAATAACATATTTTTTCTTTTTTTTTTAACATTACTTACACAATAGGACTTTCTCCTGTATCATAAGGGCCAGTTTATATTACATAAATTTCACAAGGACAAACATCCAGATCCGGAAAAATTATATGTTAGTCATACAAATATTTGTTCTGTTCGGGATTCAAACCCATGGTCCTTAGCGCTGTAACTCTTTGCAAAGCAACTGCGCCACGGAGCCGTCGGAGCATTACAACATTAGCACTCACTATTTATACTCGGGATACTGTTGATACTTCTCAAACTCTTGCTGCCACTCCTCTTCACTGGTTGGCATTTTCTCACCGAGGAGCTTCCATGTGACCATAGATAATCCCGATTCAGTCAACCGTGTGACCCCGCCTATCAATGTAAAAATCTTACAATAAATCACAACCTATGGTTTATATACTCGTTTTCTACCTTAGAATTTGTATGAATAAGTACTACGCAATTGTTATAGCCTTCTAACGCCCATGCAAAATTTGCCTCGGTCCAGATTATCCACCCACTGTCCTTCTACATGAACATATTGTACCAATGTGGTTGCCACACAGGCGATAAACATTTAAAAATAACTCTTACAATATTTTTCGAATACGTGTTTTTATAGCATTGATGTTATATCAAACAATAGATTTAGACTGTCAACCATTTAAAATATTTTATGTCCTGTAAGAGAACAATGGACCGTTATGTCTTTTTTCCAGAAAAAGGGTGACAAACGAGCACAGCCCATCTAAATTTATCCTCCATTAATAATCAAAATGCAGATGCGTTGTCAACACATAGGTCTAACTTGAAATGCAAAAAAGGTCGCCGGTCACACTCACCATACGAAACACGGCAGCGTTTAGCTTCTATTTTACGCTGGCATTTTGTGAGAGCATGGTTCGACCATTTGTGCTACAACCATAATATAGCCACAGCGTAACACTACCACGTTTAATACATAAATATCCCATCCATAACAGTCTTTATAAAACTCCACTTGACTCATAAGGGGGATTTTGCTATAGTTGGCACGTTTGGCATGTGGGTTGGCAACCGCAGTTTTTTATTATCATCATCTGTTTCAGTTTCTGTCTCTGTCGCCGCTTACGACAGCCACGGAAAGATATGGTATAGTTCATATTCTAATACCGCTACTACGCGGCTAATGATGTAATATGTATAGTAATATGTAAATATCTAATAATTATGTGTATCGAAAACAGCCTAAACAATTTGGATGAAATTTTATATTTATTTAGATCATGTTCTACTTTCAAAGTTTACTCAGGTTGCACGATGAAACAGGTTTTTTCAACGCCAAGCAAAATTTGGAATAATCTTTCACTTCGACACATAGTATTAGAAATGTGTGATACATCCTGTAAATACCGTACTAGTTACTTGACATTAGAGGTATGTTCCGAAATGTTCCCCTTATACTGTCGAATGCAAAAGACGCCATTAATTGATTTGAACGATTTATAACGAATCACCAGTATGGTGTCGATTTATGACGTCATTTGCATTGACCAGTATATTGTGTTCTATTTTGGAACATACCCTATATCAACTGCCGTCGTAGACAGAGACACCTATAGACTAATGATTAGCGTGGCCTCGAGTGAGAAAGTACGATAACGTAGTTTTAGGTTGTACAATAATCTTTATGACTTTTAAACATATTTAGATAAAAAATTTAATTGTTCTAAGAACTGAACTGAACAAGATTCACCAATCTGAAGCTCACAAAACACTTTTTTCTCACTTAAACGAACTTGTGACCTCCTTAGATTACTACGAACAGTCAAAGTTGTTTAGCAAACTGCAGTTTGCTAAACAAAAAAACCGGCACAGAGAAAGGGACAAACAATCACACTGATCTGTCTCATTTCTATACAAGATGTTTGCATAAATCTATCTTTTTCGTGCGCGAATGCGAAATAAGGCAACAATTTGTCTATAGGTTTCTCTGTCTACGACTGCCGTCTTGACCACTGTCAACGTCATTGTCACTACAACAAAAATTTGACAAAAATTTGATTATCCGTGAATTTTTCTGCCACTAGGGCGGCGCCATTTTGGAATGAGATGAAATATTTGACGTATCTCATAGAGGGGAAGTCAAAGTCATATTTCAGGTACATGTGAAGCCAAATTATCCAGATAGAACAGCCTTCCTGCTCCATAGTTCAGACTTTAAAGAGGCATAGGCTGCCAAGCAATCAGTCATATGTAGGCTGTTGTTCTACTTTATTCTAACTTGAGATTTGGTTATTTTCTGAAAGTTCTATTCTGATGATATTTATCCCTTGGTGAATTATAAATGCATATTACGGTGTAGTACGGTACGGTACGGTGTAGGGTGGATTGAAAAGTACTCGGCCTAACCAAGAAAATAAACACATACTAAATCAGTTATATTTTTATTTTTCTACATAATCACCATCAAGTTCAATACACTTTTGCCACCTCCCCTTCCAAGCATTTAGACCGTTGAAAAAAAATGATTCTTCCTTAGAGTCAAAATATGCGTCTACAGCTGCTTTGACCTCGTCGTTTGTCGAAAATCTTTGACCTCCCAAGTGCTTTTTAAGGTTAGGGAACAGAAAGAAGTCTGATGGTGCCAGATCAGGTGAATACGGCGGATGCGGTAACAGTTCAAAGCCACAGCTGTGAATTTCAGCCATTGACTGTACTGACGTGGGAACACGGGCGTTATCTTGATGAAACAGGACTTTTCTTCTGAGCATTCCTCGAAGTTTTTCTTTTATTTCCTCTCGTAAACGACGTAGTAAGGTGCAGTAGTAATCAAAGTTTATAGTCCGACCCCTTTCAAGATAATCAATCATAATCACACCTTTCGAGTCCCAGAATACTGAAGCCATCACCTTATTTGCCGACAAAATCGACTTAGCCTTTTTAGGGGGTGATGAACCAGGTCTTCTCCACTGTTGATTGTTGTTTTGTTTCCGGTGTACAGTAATGAACCCATGTTTCATCCATAGTAACAAAACGATTCAAAAAATCATCTGCATCGGCTTCAAATAACTGCAAACAGTCGCGTGAAATAGTCAATCGCGTCCTTTTTTGTTCAACTGAAAGCAGTCGCGGAACCCACCTCGCAGACACCTTGTGGAAACCCAACTCGTTGACAATGATGTTTTGAGTTCGTTCATAAGAGATGCCTATAATCTCGGCTATCTCTCTAATTTTTAATCTGCGGTCTCCCATTATTAAATCAAGTACTTTTTTAATATTTTCGTCAGTAGTTGACGTCGAAGACCTTCCAGAGCGGGGTTCATCTTTCACACTCTCTCTACCACTCTTAAATTCTGCTATCCATTTTTTGACGGATGAATATGACAGAGCACAATCGCCTAATGTACTGACCATGTCATCATGGATGGCTTTTGATGATAGCCCCTTCTTATGGAGGTACTTAATGACGGCACGCTGCTCGATTTGCTCCATTCGCGGAAATTATGTCCGATTACTTTGTTAATAAATTTATAAAATCACAACTAATTATCGCACACGTTTCGAACTTCACACAATGAACTAGTCTGAACTGAACTAAATAATGTGGGTAGATTTGATTTTTAGAATTGAATGGATCTGTGTTAGGCAGAGTACTTTTCAATCCACCCTCGTATGATGAACTGGGTAAGAAGTTCTTGGTGTTATCTTTTACTAGTTCTACTCACTTACTTCCTTAGGAGGGAATTGTACAGGATTAGATTTTTTTTTATTAGAAGAAATGTTAAATAGAGGGCATTGGATATTTGATAAAAGTAAACAAAATGCAATTTCCAATCACTTTATTTTTTATTATAGAACACAAAGTCTTATTTTAGTTAATTTATAAATTAAGCTAGTCTAAAAATCAAATAACAAGATAACTGTATTAATTTGGTATACAATACTGCAAACTTAGAATTAACTATATGAATGTATTGCATTTTGTTATCTTTATACAATAATAATATATACATGCCGTGTAGTAGCAATAGACTCCACCACCAAATATTATCCTGTTTCACTTCCATCCGTTACCTCATAATACACCCAGTATTATGAGGTAACGGATGGAAGTGAAACAGGAATGGAGTTGCCACTGACTGCCATGTGTGGCAACTGTAACTATGGCAAATATCCTTCCTCAGATCAGACAATCCATGGGGTATGCCTATCTTCAACAGTGGAATAAATGAAAAATAAACGTTTATATATATGTGGTAGAGCCATGCTGCAGTAATATTAGTAGTATAGTTGTAGTACGAATAGGTCGCCTCGACCAGAGTAAAATAGTAGCTTGTTGCTACTGTGTTTCGTATGATGAGTGTAGAGAACCGGATACTTACATTTTTTACTGTCTATGGGCCATAGCAACCACGTACCATCAGGTGGACTGTGTGCTTGTTTGTCACCCTATCCTATAAAAAAATATATATACTAAAAATTTACATTTCCTAAATCTACCAAATACTTTTTATGACACTTATAACATTTTGTTATAAAACATATTTTATGGATTTTATCATTTTAATTTTTCAAATTTTTTGATTTCCAATGTATCACTTTATAGCATCTAGGTCACGGGGTTCTGTGTAGATTAGACCAAAAATGTATAATTAATTAATTAAATAAGTCGAAGGTAGCCTTTGTTAACTATGACATGAGGACTTCAAATACCTCAATTCCTCCCATGATCATGGGTGCTGTAAAGTGCCCGAAATGTCGGGATTTAAGAATGTTAAAATTAAAAGTCTTAAAATCTGTATAATTAGTTCCATTCCATGTGCATTATTTCTATAAACTTTTTAATGATTAGCCACACTACATAAACTTATTCCAAAAGTAAACTTTAATAAATATCATGAGTATTTCATATGTAGCACAATAAAGAACTTTAGCAAGAAAAGTTTAGTTGATAGATTTCAAACTAATCCCTTTTATGAATAATTGTGATAAGACTGTCTGAAACTTAAATTATATATGCAAGAGGAGGAATGAATTTATGATATCCTTAAATAAAACAATTTTTCATTTACTTCCATTAGTACTCCGTAAAATAATATTAATAATATAATAAACACTATAGAGCAGGATGATATAGCCAGCAACCATACCTAGCACCACAGCAGTAAACACCATGCCGCTACAACCAAGTAGCCAGTATCCGACAGCCTTTGATGATTTTGACTTTGCTCCGCTTGAGCAGAAGCATGCAATAATACCATTTGACTTAATTACTTGACTTATCTGAAAATTTATTTAACTATCATTCTGATTTCAACTACAACTTTATTTTTTTAAATGTTAAATTAGAAATTATTTAATTTAAAGTAAAAGTACAGTTACAGCCTATATACATCCCACTGCTGAGCACAGGCCTCCTCTCAATTCTGAGAGGGTTTTAGGGCAAGGAAGTGTCCACCGCGCTGCCCCAACGCGTATTGGCGAACTTCACATGTCTTCGAAATATTTTTTTTCTTATTTCTCTGACATGCAGGTTTCCTCACGATGTTTTCCTTGACCGCCGAGCACGTGGTACATCAGCACTTAAAATTGCTTAACAATTTCATTGGTGCCGGCGGGGATCGAACCCGGTTTGCTTGTGTACTGTGAAATTTACAGCGAGCGCTAACCATCTGAGCTACCACGGCTCCAATTATTTAATTATTTTGATGAATATAATGGCTGGAATTAATTTTCATCAGGGATCTAAAAGGAAAGCTTCCGCAACAAGAAATGTATATTACATAAATACAAATGTTATTATGATAAGTCACAAATTACTAAGTCCATAGTTATCATATCTTAACTAATTTAATGTGTGCAGGAACAACATGACTTATTCCTCCCTCCTCTTTCTACCAATGAACAACCGAACAATTGAAAACACTCTTTTGTTGTTGAAATTCCATGCAAGTAAACCACACAGTGCACCTCATCTTTTATTATCCCATTCAAGGCGGCTCAAAATATCGTCCTTATTACGTAGGGGCGGGCGGTTAAAAGGACTGACGCCGATAGGCGTCGGACGCATTACCTATTTAAACGCTTTGTCGCCGATCGGCGTTTTCCGCACATGAAAATGATTTCTTGCTTATTTAGACAGAATTTTCAGTATTATTGAAATATGACCAGAGATTGGAAACCTTTTTTCTGATAATTGATTTTTTCTGAAAATTAATTAAGCTAAAAATAATTTTAAAAATGGTATTCAGTCTACTTTTTTATATGTACTAAGTATAACAAGTAGTGTCTTTAATTAGTACTTGAAGGGAAGAGAAAACATCTAGAAGGGTTTTCAGTTACATATTATTTCTAGTGCATCGTAATTTGTTATAATTAATAATGACTTTCTCTTGAAGGTGAGACTCAACCATCGTCACTGAGTTTATTGAGTGACGGTGTGAGAAAATTTGGTTCATAAACCAAAGCAATAAACATTGCCATCCTGCACGTATTTTATGGCCCTTTTAAGACGCCGCACTATTGTTTTACTAGATTTTGTAGGCCCGACAATAATAGTTATTCATAATATAGACGAATTTATTTTTGTCATTTGTTAACTCCCTATTGTTCCTTGGTAAACACACGTCGAAGCCATACCTCATAGCATGATTTGACTTCAACCTAATTGATTTCGAACAGCATCCTTGTTTAAGGGTGGAAATGACTAACAAAGGTCCCGTAGATTACTTTTTTAGTTATGGATTGTTGTGACATTTCATCTTAACTTGTTCCAAAAACTATGCCTCAAAACTATTAGACAATACAAATATTCCAAATTTCAAAATTGGCGTCCAATAACCATGGATGCTCTAAAGACTTTTATTGGTCTACAGATACACACGGGTGACATTAAAATGAATAATTTACGGGATTATTGGAAAACTTATTATTTGTACAAATCAGACAACATATGCCATTCAATCAACACATGCCCAGGGATAGATTTTAAATATATTAAGACTATTAAATGTTCAGTATGAACGACGAAAGGTAATGATAGTATAAAAAAATTAAAACATTAATTGATGCATTTAACAATAAAATGAAAAAAAACTTACTATCCAACTAGAAAAATGGCAATTGATGTATCATTGATGCTTTGGAGGAGCAGACTTTCATTCCGGCAATACATGAAGTCAAAAGCTAGGCATCAAATTTTATATTTTGGGTGACAAATTTGGTGTATGCCAAAAACATCATTTGTATGCTAGGTCAAAAGATCAAATATCGGGGGGGGGGGGGGGGGTCATTCCATAAAAGTTGTAAAATTATTAATGAAGGAATATTTTAATGTCGGCCATTGTTTGACTAAATAATGTATTTTGTTTATTACGCTCACATTCCTTGTATGCATTTAGTGTCCAATAGATCGTTGAACAGAGCATACGTGTTTAGTTTTATTTCACTATACCCAACCAAGTGACGACCTTATTCAAAGCAACATATGGTCCAAATTCGAGCCGGATCCAGCGACGTTTACCTGCTCCTTTAGGGGCTGCCCAAGAACAAAGATTTGAAAAAAAAAGGGTCGACTTGTTAACAAGTGTTGGAGTTTAAATTCATTAGCAAGAGTTTTGAGTTTAAATTCATTTCATTCTACTTTGTTAAGATTAAAGATTTTATATATACTTTGTATAAATAATGGCTACGGAAGTGGAAAAAGCTTTGATTAAAGTGGAAAACATTGCACACACTATGAAGAAAACACAAATTAACCTGAAAAAGTGCCCAAAAGCAAGATTAACACGAAATTACGTCGAATCACGCCTTAAATGTTTAGAAGATTATTGGTGCGAATATAAAGAAGCTTACGACCAAATTATTTGCAACATATCGAGGGAAAAAAGAGAGCAAATACCGTACATTGCGCAGGAGGAGTTTTATGACCATGAAGAAATATACATTACTTTGAAAACTGAGCTCAAAGATTTGTTAGTATCCCAACAAGTTAGTGATAGTGCTCCGTTATTAATATCAACTGAATCTCAATCTCAACAAACTCGTGTAGTGCTACCCAAAATACAGTTACCAACCTATAGTGGGCATTATGAAGAGTGGTTATCGTTTCATGACTTGTTTAATACACTTGTTCACACTAACGAAACGCTTAATAATGTACAGAAATTGCATTATTTAAAAACTAGTCTTACTGGTGAAGCTGCGTCTATATTAAAACATGTACAGGTAACAGATTCGAACTATGAACAAGCATGGGACATATTAAAAAGACGATATGGTAATAAACGAATAACTATCAACGCCGTCATGAAAAAACTTTTTTCACAAAAGAAGATGACCGTAAATTCTTCAAATCATATTAAGAGTTTGCTAGATACTACGTTCGAATGTTTGCATCAGCTTAAAAACATGAAGGTAAATATTGAAAACTGGGATCCTATGATAATATTTGTGACTGTGCAGAAACTAGACTCTGAGACGCATAAAGACTGGGAAGAACACGTTAGCAACAATTGCCAAGATCCTGATAGTCTTCCATCACTCGATATTTTTCGTAAATTTTTAGAAAGCCGTTTTCGCACGTTGGAGCTCACAGAACCGACGAAACAAAGATTGAATAATAATGTCATCCAACGAGAGAAGTCGTATCACATTACAACCAACGTAGAAACATGCAAAAAATGTCAAATGTGCAATGAAAATCATACACTTAGCCATTGTAAAGTGTTCGGAAAACATTCACCACTACAACGAAGTGAATTCATTAAAACTAATAACTTGTGCTTCAATTGCCTTTCACCTGGACACTCTGTAAGGCAATGTCGTATTCCAACATGTTGTCGGTTATGCAAAAGGCGCCACCATTCTCTTCTTCACGAAAATAAGGAAAGCAACGTAAGTGAAAGCACAACAGGCAATTCTGATAAAGTACGTACAAAACAACCTGAAGTGGCTTTACATACAAACGTGGAGAAGAATGAAGGAGAGAAAGAAAGCATTACAGTGGTTGCACACAGTTCTAGCAAAGAAAGTACAGCATTACTTGCAACAGCAATTGTAATAGTAAGAAGTGAAGACAATTATATGACCACGCTGCGAGCATTAATTGACCAAGGCTCCCAAGCTAGCTTCATAAGTGAACGTGCTGCACAACTACTCAAGGCTAGGAGATATCCAATTAGGGGTGCGGTCATTGGTGTTGGATCAACTAGAGAAGATTTAAAACAAGTCGTTCAAATCAACGTACAGTCGAGATGCGCAGCTTACAACCTAGAAGTCAGAACTTATGTTATGTCAAAACAACTTACAACTAAAATACCTTCGCATATAATCAAAAAGGGCAATTGGCCTCATTTAGATGGGTTAGAACTAGCTGACCCAAACTACTACAAACCAGGTTCTATTGACCTGCTCTTGGGTGTTGACGTATACGCACGTATAGTGGAAAATGAATTAATCAAGGGTCCACCAGGGTCTCCGTGCGCTCATAAAACAAACCTTGGCTGGATTTTATTCGGAAATATAGATGATAGACCACAACAAGCAGAGTCAGTACTGGTTATGCATCATCAGATCATAGCAGAAGATTTCTTAAAGGCAATTTGGGAAATAGATCAAGATTCAAAAAGAAAGCACACCAAAGAAGAAAAACGATGTGAAAAATTCTATGAAGAGAATTATAAAAGAAACAGCGAGGGAAGATACATTGTGGGACTTCCATTTCGTTCCAATGACATTGTTACACCGGACGGAAATACGAGAGAAATTGCAATGAAGCGCTTGATTCAGCAAGAAAAAAGACTATATAAAACACCGGATTTAAAAGAAGAGTACGACAAGGTATTAGAAGAATACTTAGCAATGGGACATATGGAAGAAGTTCCGAAAGATGAAATAAACAATCGTTCTGTTTATTTACCACATCATGCCGTTATTCGAAGAGATAAGGAGACAACTAAAATCAGAGTTGTATTTGACGCTTCGTGCAAAGCTAATAATGGCATATCTTTGAATGATGAGCTCATGACTGGACCGGTACTCCAAGAAGATATGCGAAGCATAATAATGAGATGGCGCATGCATAGGGTATGCTTTGCAAGTGACATAATGAAAATGTACAGAATGATTCTCTTGGAGAAGAAGGATACAGACTACCACAGAATACTCTGGTGTCGTAACACCACAGGCAGAGCTGGTGACCAGCTAGCGGATGTTAAAGATTACAGATTGAAAACTGTCACATTTGGTACAGCATGTGCACCTTACCTAGCTGTCAAAACTTTGATGAAACTCGCAGATGATGAGGGTGAAGAATATTCTGAAGCTGCTAGAATTATTCGTGAAGACTTTTACGTCGATGACTTGACTTCAGGCTGTGACACAACAGAACAAGCAACTCGTATCAGCAAAGAAATCATGACAATTCTTAAACGAGATGGATTTGAACTTCAGAAATGGGCCTCAAATGATCCTGAGTTTTTAAAATCGATAGAACCAGACCGAATCACCACAAAGGCTAGTCTTAATTTGAAACTAGATGGCACCATTAAAGCCCTTGGCCTAACATGGAATCTTGGAGAAGATAATTTTTGTTACCAACTGCAACTGGAACCTATATCAACCAATATTACAAAAAGACTCATACTGTCAGATTTACAAAGACTCTTTGATCCACTTGGATGGATAGCACCAGTAATTGTTAGAGCAAAGATACTTGTGCAAAGATTGTGGCTAGAAGGAGTTGGTTGGGACGAAGACATAAATAAAGAACTGAAAAGAGAATGGGAAATCATAAAAGAAGATTTAAAAAATGTCAATAAAATAAGAGTTCAACGATGGGTGAACATTTTAAGCAATGAAAAGGATCGAGTAACATTACATGGATTCTGCGATGCTTCTGAGAGGGCATACGCAGCTGTAGTATATTGCCAAGTACTAACGAAAGATGGTGATATAAAAACACACATCATCGCCGCGAGGACGAGAGTCGCTCCTGTTAAGACCATTTCTTTACCGCGACTTGAACTAAGTGGAGCAACCCTGCTAGCCAAATTATTATACAAAGTAAGCAACGCTATGAGAATTCCATCACAAAATGTATTTGCATGGACTGACTCTACAATTGTATTATCATGGCTTTTTGGGGAACCAAATCGGTGGAAGCCATTTGTTGCAAACCGAGTAGTGGAAATACTGCAGCAAACAAGCGTCTCCCAGTGGTATCATGTGAAGTCGTCAGACAATCCAGCTGATATAGCTTCAAGAGGTGCTTTGACATCAGAGATACAGCAGAAAACGTTATGGTGGGAGGGACCAACTTGGCTCGTCAAAAAACACATTGAGTATACTAGACCTTCAATACCACCTACACAAATGGAAAGGAAAAAGGCCATACAGTCCTATGTTAATGTTACGGATTGTGAAAGAAAAATAATTAAATTTGAAGAATATGATACACTTACGGAGCTGTTAAGAGTAATAGTAATATGTAAAAGATTTCTAAATATGAAAAGGGATCAAAGGATTCCTAACTATGAATTGACTGTAGTAAAAATGCACAATGCTTTAGATATTTGTATGAGACAAGTACAACAAGAAGAATTTTCAGACGAGATAAGAAGATTAAAAGACCACAAGCCTGTGAAGGCCACGAGCATATTGAAGACGCTAAGCCCATACATTGATGAACGAAATATCCTCAGGGTGGGCGGCAGATTAAGAAATGCACACGTCGATGAAGACATAAAACACCCTATAATCATAGGTAAGAGAAACACCTTCGTAACACTGGTTCTTGCTGACGCACACCAGAAAACAATGCATGGTGGAATTAAACTTATGATTGCATACCTCATGAGTAAATACTGGATTTTTTTTGGCTGCAAGAGTTTGGTGAAAAGGTACATACAAAGATGTCTTACTTGTGCACGGCAACGAGCTACTTTCAGACAACAAGTGATGGGTGATTTACCTGAGCCTCGTGTGACCCCAACGCGACCATTCTCTCGAAGTGGAGTAGACTTTGCTGGTCCAGTTTACCTGCTAAATTCTAAAGGAAGAGGTGCTAAAAGCAGGAAGGCTTACATTTGCATATTTATTTGCATGGCTGTAAAGGCGATACATTTAGAGATGGTGAGCGATTTAACATCTGATGCATTTATAGCAGCATTCAAACGTTTTGTTGCCAGAAGAGGAAGATGTAATGAAATCTGGAGCGATAACGGAACGAACTTTGTTGCAGCCAATAAGGAATTAGTTAAAATGTGGAGAGAGGCAGGACTGGAAATGCCTTGACACATAGCAGATCAATTGGCAAGTGATGGAACGCATTGGCATTTTACACCACCATACACACCACACTTTGGAGGACTCTGGGAGGCTGGTGTCAAATCAGTCAAACAGCACTTACGAAAGACACTGAAGTCAAACTTAACATTTGAAGAATTCATGACAGTGCTTACACAAATCGAAGCATGTCTGAACTCTCGGCCTTTAACACCGTTATCCACAGATGTGGACACGATTGATGACATTCAAGTACTCACGCCTGGACATTTCTTAATTGGAGAAGCACCAATCACGGTACCAGACCGCGATTATACAATTGAGAACTACAGTCAGTTATCCAGATGGCAACACACTCAAAGACTGGTTCAAGCGTTTTGGAAACGCTGGCAGACTGAATATTTGTCCCGACTTAATCAGCGACCTAAGTGGTTAAAAAGAACACCTGAGTTTGAAGTTGGTGATATAGTATTGCTAAAAGATGAAAATTTACCGCCTAGCAAGTGGGCTCTGGCACAGATAACTGAAAAACATCCTGGACAAGACAATATAACACGCGTGTATACCGTCCGTTATAATGGTAAATTAACTCGGAGATCCATCTCAAATTTGTGTGCATTACCGATTTCTAATAAAGATTAATATTTTAATTTAATTCAATAACTTTCAATTGTATTCTTTGCATTATATTCAGTTACTAGTTAAGTTCAAATGTTTTATTAATTTGTTTATTTCGAAAAGGTCTTAAGTACCTTTTGGTGGGCGGTATGTTTGACTAAATAATGTATTTTGTTTATTACGCTCACATTCCTTGCATGCATTTAGTGTCCAATAGATCGTTGAACAGAGCATACGTGTTTAGTTTTATTTCACTATACCCAACCAAGTGACGACCTTATTCAAAGCAACAGCCATTATGTATATTTAAATAATTATTATGCAAGTATATCCCTTATAACACAACTTTTAGAAAAAAAAAAACATTTTGTACGGGAACACTACGTACAAACAGGGCTGGAAATCCTAAACAATTATCACCGAAACTATAAAAAGGTGAAATAATAATTCTCCCAACCAATATAAAATAACTGTTTGCAAAGGGCACAGTAATAGAAGGTTCTGTTGGCATCTAGTGAAAACAATTGCGACATGATTCCTGTACAAAATCCACTGCGACCAGATATAGTCACGCTAAAGCAAATTATACTAAATATATGCGCAACGTAGATAAACACGACCAATTAATGTCATACTATAACAGTGAACATAAAACCTTAAAATCAGACAAGACCACTGGATAGTGGGGTGCTCTGATTCGATTTTGGATACTTTTTGGATATTAAATAAATGCATTGGACGGCTGGGATCTGAAGGCCCTCGCGAATGCATACGTCGCTGTGGAATCTTGGGGCAGGTCGCCAGTGTCGGCGCTGAACGAACTGGGCGTTCGAGTCCGTTATACACTAGTGGAGCAGAGTGGACCAGCACACTGTCCGAGCTTCACCGTTGTCATCACTGTGGCGGACATGCGGTCAGAGGGCAGGGGCCACAGCAAGCGGGAGGCTCGAGCCGCGGCGGCTCGCGCCTCCCTGGTAGCGCTGCTGACGCGCGTGGACGGCATGCAGCCGGCGGCGCTGCTGAAGCGCGCGGACGACATGCAGCCGGCGGCGTTGCTGACGCGCGCGGACGGCATACAGCCGGCGGCGTTGCTGACGCGCGCGGACGGCATGCAGCCGGCGGCGCTGCTGACGCGCGCGGACGGCATGCAGCCGGCGGCGCTGCTGACGCGCGCGGACGGCATGCAGCCGGCAGCGCTGCTGACGCGCGCGGGCGACATGCAGCCGGCGGCGTTGCTGACGCGCGCGGACGGCAATCAGCCGGCGGCGCTGCTGAGGCGCGCGTACGCCATGCAGCCGGCGGCGCTGCCGACGCGCGCGGACATCATGCAGCCGGCGGCGCTGCTGACGCGCGCGGACATCATGCAGCCGGCGGCGCTACTGACGCGCGCAGACGGCATGCAGCCGGCGGCGTTGCTGAAGCGCGCGGAGAGAATGCAGCCGACGGCTCTGCTGACGCGCGCGGACGACATGCAGCCGACGGCTCTGCTGACGCGCGCGGACGACATGCAGCCGGCGGCGCTGCTGAAGAGCGCGGACGACATGCAGCCGGCGGCGCCGACCCACCAGGACACCAGCGACGAGCCGCCCGAGGGACAAGATGCATTGGACATTTGGAATCTGAAGGCCCTCGCGAATGCATACGTCGCTGTGGAATCTTGGGGCAGGTCGCCAGTGTCGGCGCTGAACGAACTGGGCGTTCGAGTCCGTTATACACTAGTGGAGCAGAGCGGACCAGCACACTTTCCGAGCTTCACCGTTGTCGTCACTGTGGCGGACATGCGGTCAGAGAGCAGGGGCCACAGCAAGCGGGAGGCTCGAGCCGCGGCGGCTCGCGCCTGCTTGGTAGCGCTGCTGACGCGCGCGGACGGCATACATCCGGCGGCGCTGCTGAAGCGCGCGGACGACATGCAGCCGGCGGCGTTGCTGACGCGCGCGGACGGCATACAGCCAGCGGCGTAGCAGACGCGCGCGGACGACATGCAGCCGGCGGCGCTGCTGACGAGCGCGGACGACAAGCAGCCGGCGGCGCCGACCCACCAGGACACCAGCGACGAGCCGCCCGAGGGACAAGATGCATTGGACAATTGGAATCTGAAGGCCCTCGCGAATGCATACGTCGCTGTGGAATCTTGGGTCAGGTCGCCAGTGTCGGCGCTGAACGAACTAGGCGTTCGAGTCCGTTATACACTAGTGGAGCAGAGCGGACCAGCACACTGTCCGAGCTTCACCGTTGTCGTCACTGTGGCGGACATGCGGTCAGAGGGCAGGGGCCACAGCAAGCGGGAGGCTCGAGACGCGGCGGCGCGCGCCTGCCTGGTGGCGCTGCTGACGAGCGCGGACGGCATGCAGCCGGCGGCGCTGCTGACGTGCGCGGACGGCATGCAGCCGGCGGCACTGCTGACGCGCGCGGACGGCATGCAGCCGGCGGCGCTGCTGACGAGCGCGGACGACAAGCAGCCGGCGGCGCCGACCCACCAGGACACCAGCGACGAGCCGCCCGAGGGACAAGATGCATTGGACAATTGGAATCTGAAGGCCCTCGCGAATGCATACGTCGCTGTGGAATCTTGGGTCAGGTCGCCAGTGTCGGCGCTGAACGAACTGGGCGTTCGAGTCCGTTATACACTAGTGGAGCAGAGCGGACCAGCACACTGTCCGAGCTTCACCGTTGTCGTCACTGTGGCGGACATGCGGTCAGAGGGCAGGGGCCACAGCAAGCGGGAGGCTCGAGACGCGGCGGCGCGCGCCTGCCTGGTGGCGCTGCTGACGAGCGCGGACGGCATGCAGCCGGCGGCGCTGCTGACGTGCGCGGACGGCATGCAGCCGGCGGCACTGCTGACGCGCGCGGACGGCATGCAGCCGGCGGCGCTGCTGACGCGAGCGGACGGCATGCAGCCGGCAGCGCTGCTGACGCGAGCGGACGACATGCAGCCGGCGGCGATGCTGACGCGCGCGGACGGCAATCAGCCGGCGGCGCTGCTGAGGCGCGCGTACGCCATGCAGCCGGCGGCGCTGCCGACGCGCGCGGACATCATGCAGCCGGCGGCGCTGCTGACGCGCGCGGACATCATGCAGCCGGCGGCGCTACTGACGCGCGCGGACGGCATGCAGCCGGCGGCGTTGCTGACGCGCGCGGACGGCATGCAGCTGGCGGCGCTGCTGACGCGCGCGGACGGCATGCAGTCGACGGCTCTGCTGACGCGCGCGGACGGCATGCAGCCGGCGGCGCTGCTGACGCGCGCGGACGACATGCAGCCGGCGGCGCTGCTGACGCGCGCGGACGGCATGCAGCCGGCGGCGCTGCTGAAGCGCGCGGACGACATGCAGCCGGCGGCGTTGCTGACGCGCGCGGACGGCATGCAGCCGGCGGCGCTGCTGACGCGCGCGGACGACATGCAGCCGGCGGCGCTGCTGACGAGCGCGGACGGCATGCAGCCGGCGGCGCCGACCCACCAGGACACCAGCGACGAGCCGCCCGAGGGACAAGATGCATTGGACAATTGGAATCTGAAGGCCCTCGCGAATTCATACGTCGCTGTGGAATCTTGGGGCAGGTCGCCAGTGTCGGCGCTGAACGAACTGGGCGTTCGAGTCCGTTATACACTAGTGGAGCAGAGCGGACCAGCACACTGGCCGAGCTTCACCGTTGTCGTCACTGTGGCGGACATGCGGTCAGAGGGCAGGGGCCACAGCAAGCGGGAAGCTCGGGACGCGGCGGCGCGCACCTGCCTGGTGGCGCTGCTGACGAGCGCGGACGGCATGCAGCCGGCGGCGCTGCTGACGAGCGCGGACGGCATGTAGCCGGCGGCGCTGCTGACGCGCGCGGACGGCATGCAGCCGGCGGCGCTGCCGACGCGCGCGGACGGCATGCAACCGGCGGCACTGCTAACGCGAGCCGTCGACATGCAGCCGGCGGCGTTGCTGACGAGCGCAGACGACATGCAGCCGGCGGCGCCGACCCACCAGGACACCAGCGACGAGCTGCCCGAGGGACAAGATGCATTGGACAATTGGAATCTGAAGGCCCTCGCGAATGCATACGTCGCTGTGGAATCTTGGGGCAGGTCGCCAGTGTCGGCGCTGAACGAACTAGGCGTTCGAGTCCGTTATACACTAGTGGAGCAGAGCGGACCAGCACATTGTCCGAGCTTCATCGTTGTCGTTACTGTGGCGGACATGCGGTCAGAGGGCAGGGGCCACAGCAAGCGGGAGGCTCGAGACGCGGCGGCGCGCGCCTGCCTGGTGGCGCTGCTGACGAGCGCGGACGGCATGCAGCCGGCGGCGCTGCTGACGCGCGCGGACGGCATGCAGCCGGCGGCGCTGCTGACGCGCGCTGCTGACGCGCGCGGACGACATGCAGCCGGCAGCGCTGCTGACGCGCGCGGACGACATTCAGCCGGCGGCGTTGCTGACGCGCGCGGACGGCAATCAGCCGGCGGCGCTGCTAAGGCGCGCGTACGCCATGCAGCCGGCGGCGCTGCTGACGCGCGCGGACATCATACAGCCGGCGGCGCTGCTGAAGCGCGCGGACGACATGCAGCCGGCGGCGTTGCTGACGCGCGCGGACGGCATGCAGCCGGCGGCGCTGCTGAAGCGCGCGGACGACATGCAGCCGGCGGCGCTGCTGACGCGCGCGGACGGCATGCAGCCGGCGGCACTGCTGATGCGCGCGGACGGCATGCAACCGGCGGCGCTGCTAACGCGCGCCGTCGACATGCAACCGGCGGCGTTGCTGACGAGTGCAGACGACATGCAGCCGGCGGCGCCGACCCACCAGGACACCAGCGACGAGCTGCCCGAGGGACAAGATGCATTGGACAATTGGAATCTGAAGGCCCTCGCGAATGCATACGTCGCTGTGGAATCTTGGGGCAGGTCGCCAGTGTCGGCGCTGAACGAACTAGGCGTTCGAGTCCGTTATACACTAGTGGAGCAGAGCGGACCAGCACACTGTCCGAGCTTCACCGTTGTCGTTACTGTGGCGGACATGCGGTCAGAGGGCAGGGGCCACAGCAAGCGGGAGGCTCGAGACGCGGCGGCGCGCGCCTGCCTGGTGGCGCTGCTGACGCGCGCGGACGACATTCAGCCGGCGGCGTTGCTGACGCGCGCGGACGGCAATCAGCCTGCGGCGCTGCTGAGGCGCGCGTACGCCATGCAGCCGGCGGCGCTGCTGACGCGCGCGGACATCATGCAGCCGGCGGCACTGCTGAAGCGCGCGGACGACATGCAGCCGGCGGCGTTGCTGACGCGCGCGGACAACATGCAGCCGGCGGCGTTGCTGACGCGCGCGGACGGTATGCAGCCGGCGGCGCTGCTGAAGCGCGCGGACGACATGCAGCCGGCGGCGTTGCTGACGCGCGCGGACGGCATGCAGCCGGCGGCGCTGCTGACGCGCGCGGACGGCATGCAGCCGGTGGCGCTGCTGACGCGAAAGGACGGCATACAGCCGGCGGCGTTGCTGACGCGCGCGGACGGCATGCAGCCGGCGGCGTTGCTGACGAGCGCGGACGGCATGCAGCCGGCGGCGTTGCTGACGAGCGCGGACGGCATGCAGCCGCCGGCGCTGCTGACGAGCGCGGACGGCATGCAGCCGGCGGCGCCAACCCACCAGGACACCAGCGACAAGCCGCCCGAGGGACAAGATGCATTGGACAATTGGAATCTGAAGGCCCTCGCGAATGCATACGTCGCTGTGGAATCTTGGGGCAGGTCGCCAGTGTCGGCGCTGAACGAACTGGGCGTTCGAGTCCGTTATACACTAGTGGAGCAGAGCGGACCAGCACACTGTCCGAGCTTCACCGTTGTCGTCACTGTGGCGGACATGCGGTCAGAGGGCAGGGGCCACAGCAAGCGGGAGGCTCGAGACGCGGCGGCGCGCGCCTGCCTCGTGGCGCTGCTGACGCGCGCGGACGGCATGCAGCCGGCGGGCATGCAGCCGGCGGCGCTGCTGACGCGCACGGACGACATGCAGCCGGCGGCGTTGCTGACGCGCGCGGACGGCAATCAGCCGGCGGCGCTCCTGACGCGCGCGGACGGCATGCAGCCGGCGGCGCTGCTGAAGCAGGCGGACGACATGCAGCCGGCGGCGATGCTGACGCGCGCAGACGACATGCAGCTGGCGGCGCCGACCCACCAGGACACCAGCGACGAGCTGCCCGAGGGACAAGATGCATTGGACTGTAGCAGCCAGATTAATCAAACCGAAACGGGAATAAATAATATATACTCCGCTGCTACCATAACGCGGAAGGCGAGAATAAATAAAAAAACATTTTATTTCCTAATTATTCTTGGCTACTGAGATACTGCGGACTGTATATAGATAATTTGACGTTCTTATAAAGAAACAAGAAGCAGCCGCAAATATCATTCAGCGCCACACCGACTTCACACGCCGCTATCGTCACGTATCCGTCGACCAATGGTGAGCCGTTTCTTCAACGCCGCAGTTCGTTTCCTCTTGCTGTTCCGGAGCTGTATTCCGCACCGCCGCCGCCCGCCGACTACGCGTGCGCACCGATCTGCATGTCTTATATAGCCCGGTCCAGCGACGTAGCTTCGTGAACAACAAACAAGTCTCACGCCGGGAAACGAAACGTAGATAATTGTATATTTTAAATAGTTTTCATTGGTCATAAAATAAGCAATATAATTGGCTAGGCGAAATATTAATTGTTACCATTGGCAAATCAATAGTGAGCCAGCCATATAAATATAGGCAAGGTTGATGCAAAATATATTCCATATTCCATTCCGAATCCCATTCGACAGTACATTCATAAACATAAACAGTAGTTTCATTTCTCCACCTTAAAGAAAACCACTCGGAGTCTGTTAATAGTGGACAGTTCGTCTCCACTATTACAGTGGTGACCCCGTACGAACACCGAGGGGGAAGATCCGGTACGAACACCAAGAAGGAACACCCTGCGACGTACCACTACTATTGCACGAGCACCGCGAAGGAAACCCGTACGAACACCGAGAAGGAAGACTTCAGTTTATATAAAATCAGTGTAATCAAGCCGTCATTATGGAGCAGGAGGCAAACACATATACATCAAACCCGGTAAAGGAACCAGAAATCGCCGGTATATCTCTATCGTTAAGAATACCACCGTTTTGGAGAGACAAACCACGACTTTGGTTCGTCAGTTTTGAAGCCGCAACGAATGGTTTAAAGAAGAGCCAAGCGCAATTAGCACAGATGGTGATAGCCCAACTTGAGAAACAAGACATCGAACAAATTGCGGACCTGTTGTACAACCCACCAGCAGTCGACCAGTATAATTCACTGAAGGATCGTCTGATCTCCGCATATGAAGAATCCGACAGTCGACAGCTACAAAAACTTCTATCAGAAATAGAACTTGGAGACCAGAAACCCACACAACTCCTACGCAAAATGCGTACTTTGGCGCGAGATAAAGTTCCGGATTCAACACTACGGCTAATGTGGGTAAACCACCTACCACCACATATTCGATCGGTAATAGCAGTCAGCGAAACATTCAGCACGCAGACGAAGCTCGACGAACTGGCACTCCTGGCGGACAAGATGATCGAAATCAGCAGTAGCTCACACATATCGATCATCGAAGGCACTTCAACAAAGGCCAATGATACCCAGTTTCTTCTCGAAGAAATTCGGAAGCTATCATTCGAAGTCGCCGCGCTCAAAGCTTCCCAGCATCATACCTTTTACCAGCAACAGTACAACCAGCGCAATCAGCAACACCGAAGATCACCTTTTCGTCGCAACCGCTCTGCAAGTAGAAGTCGAATAAGCTCAACATCAAGATCCCCTTACTGCTACTATCATCGACGTTTCGGGGTCGAGGCAAGAAAATGCACAGCACCGTGTACATTCAAAAATGAAAATACGAATACGGAAAACTAACTAGTACGCTCGATGCGACGGGATCCAGCGTAACAGCAAAGTCCTACCGTCTTTTCGTCACCGATAAAAAAAGCAAGCTTACTTTCCTTATCGACACCGGAGCAAATATCTCAGTGTTACCGCCGAAGCAAGGACAGAAGTTGAAGCCACTAGATTTTCAACTCTATGCAGCAAACAATACGGTTATTCCTACATATGGAGAAAAAACAATGGAACTTGATTTTAATCTACGCCGACCATTCAAATGGAGATTTATCGTCGCTAAAGTCAGCAAACCAATCATCGGTGCTGATTTTCTTCAACATCACCAGTTGGTCGTCGACATCAAAAATAGAAGAATCATCGACGGGAAAACCAATCTTGCATCTCAGTCTTTTGTACAAGCAACCAATCTGCCCACAATAAGAAGCATAGATGTGCAACAACCGTATCACAAGATCCTCGAAGAATACCCTGGTATCACAAGAATAACTTCAATGAAATTAACACCGAAGAACGACGTTGAGCATTTCATCGACACCAATGGACCACCACTTCATTGTCGTGCACGTCCAATCGCACCACACCTATACGAGCAAGTTCGAAAGGAATTCGGAAACATGATTGAGCAAGGAATATGCCGTCCAAGCAAAAGCCCTTGGTCATCACCACTTCACATTGTACCGAAGAAGAACGGAGAATTACGAGTTTGTGGAGATTACAGAAGACTGAACTCTATTACCACTCCTGACCGATACCCAATACCGCGAGTCAGGGATTTCACTCATCAACTATCAGACAAGACTATATTCTCCACCATCGATCTCAACCGAGCTTACCAACAAATAAGAGTCCGCGATGAAGACATAGAGAAGACAGCAATAATTACCCCAATGGGATTATTCGAATTCCCAAGAATGATCCCAGGATTAAAGAACGTAGGTCAAACTTTCCAAAGATTCATACACGAAGTACTTCATGGACTGGATTTCGTTTTCGCATTTATTGATGATCTCCTTGTTGCAAGCCCTGATAAAGAAACGCACGAAACCCATCTACGCACCGTGCTACAGCGATTAGAAGACAACGGAATCACAATCAACCCTTCGAAATGCATATTTGGACAGCAAGAAGTTCAATTTCTTGGTTTCACCGTCAGCAAGGAAGGAATAAAACCGCCTGCCGAAAAAGTCAGAGCAATCATCGATTATGCAAAACCTAAAACTATCGAAGAGCTAAGGCGTTTTCTTGGGATGATAAATTTTTACAGAGAACACATACCTAAAGCCGCTGAAATCCAAGCACCACTTCACGCCTACCTTCACAACACGAAGAAAAAAGATAAAACGTCAATCGAATGGAACGATGAAGCCACGAAGGCATTTGAAGCTTGTAAAATTGCGATCCAAAATGCAGCTTTACTCGCTCACCCATCACACGAAGCAACCCTTGCTATCTTCAGCGACGCATCCGATCTCTCAGCAGGAGCAGTTCTCCAACAATACAGCAATGGGAAATGGCAACCACTTGGATATTTTTCGAAGAAGTTCTCCGATACTCAACGTAACTACAGTACATTCGACCGAGAGCTACTCGCTATTTACATGGCTATCAAGCACTTCAGAAAAACGTTCGAGGGTCGAAACCTGATCGTTTTTACCGACCACAAACCATTAACATATGTACTTCCAAAGAAACCATCACTATCGGAAACACCACGAAGAGCAAGACAACTTATTTTCATAAGTGAATTCACGACCGACATACGTCACATCAGTGGAAAGGACAACATAGTTGCCGACGCACTCAGTCGCGTACCAATCGACAGTGTAACGTGCCCTACATCAATCGACTATCATAAGATCGCCGCAGCACAAGACAGAGATAGTGACAACATAAAACATCTAGCGAAGCAAGGTAACTTGTCCATCAAGCAAGTTACAATGCCAATGACGCATCTACCTATATACTGTGAAGCCTCAACGACAACCATGCGACCATACATACCAGAAGAATGTCGTCGCGAAGTCTTCAATACACTGCACAACATTAGTCATCCAGGTGTTAGAACAACAAGAAAACTCATCACTGAAAAATTCTTTTGGCCTGCAATGCAAGCGGATGTTGGCAACTGGGCGAAGCAATGCATTCAATGCCAAAAATGCAAAGTACAAAGGCATACATCAAGTAGTCTAGCTACATTTCCACCCACGGAGAGATTCGAACACTTGCACGTTGACATCGTTGGACCATTACCTACTTCACCGCAAGGACATCGTTATCTCGTAACAATGATCGACAGAACAACAAGATGGCCAGAAGCAATACCTACCGATGATACTTCAGCCGAATCCGTCGCGAAGATAATTTATGAAAATTGGATTACTCGTTTCGGATCACCTAAAACCATCACAACGGATCAAGGAAGGAATTTCGAAAGCAACCTATTCCTCAAACTTCTTCAAACTATGGGAATACAGAAGACGCGTACAACAGCATACCATCCTCAGTCAAACGGAATAATCGAACGATGGCATCGTACATTAAAGACTGCACTCAAAACTCGTTTATCTCAACATACAAAGTGGATTGATGAGCTACCTACAGTGCTACTCGGACTACGAGCAACACCGCGTGCAGACACTAGTCTTAGCGCCGCTCAGCTAACCTACGGCTGCAGCATAAGGCTGCCGTGTGACTTCTTCAGTTCAGCAGCGTCAAACAAACAAGAAATGGATTACGATTTCGTAACTAAACTTCGAGAATCAATTAACAAAGCCTTATCGTTGAAATGCACCGAAATGCAATCACACAGAAATAATAAATCAGTATTCATTCACCAAGATTTGAAAACATGCAAACAAGTTTTTGTAAGAAACGACGCAATGAAAAAACAATTTCAACCTACCTACGATGGACCGTATAAAGTATTAGAGAGAAATAGCAAGACTTTTAAACTACAAATACCCGGAAGGAAATCTACGATTATATCGATCGACCGACTAAAGCCTGCCTATATTATTAACGAGGATACTGCAGAGGATTCATCATCATCATCAAAACCACCAGCGAGGAAGCTTGAAACTTCATCATCTACATCAACCCAGTTGAAACCTATTTTAAAAACTACGAAATACGGGCGAGTCGTCAAGCCTCCGGTACGCTTTCGCTGGGGGGAGAGTGATGTAGCAGCCAGATTAATCAAACCGAAACGGGAATAAATAATATATACTCCGCTGCTACCATAACGCGGAAGGCGAGAATAAATAAAAAAACATTTTATTTCCTAATTATTCTTGGCTACTGAGATACTGCGGACTGTATATAGATAATTTGACGTTCTTATAAAGAAACAAGAAGCAGCCGCAAATATCATTCAGCGCCACACCGACTTCACACGCCGCTATCGTCACGTATCCGTCGACCAATGGTGAGCCGTTTCTTCAACGCCGCAGTTCGTTTCCTCTTGCTGTTCCGGAGCTGTATTCCGCACCGCCGCCGCCCGCCGACTACGCGTGCGCACCGATCTGCATGTCTTATATAGCCCGGTCCAGCGACGTAGCTTCGTGAACAACAAACAAGTCTCACGCCGGGAAACGAAACGTAGATAATTGTATATTTTAAATAGTTTTCATTGGTCATAAAATAAGCAATATAATTGGCTAGGCGAAATATTAATTGTTACCATTGGCAAATCAATAGTGAGCCAGCCATATAAATATAGGCAAGGTTGATGCAAAATATATTCCATATTCCATTCCGAATCCCATTCGACAGTACATTCATAAACATAAACAGTAGTTTCATTTCTCCACCTTAAAGAAAACCACTCGGAGTCTGTTAATAGTGGACAGTTCGTCTCCACTATTACAGGACAATTGGAATCTGAAGGCCCTCGCGAATGCATACGTCGCTGTGGAATCTTGGGGCAGGTCGCCAGTGTCGGCGCTGAACGAACTGAGCGTTCGAGTCCGTTATACACTAGTGGAGCAGACCGGACCAGCACACTGTCCGAGCTTCACCGTTGTCGTTACTGTGGCGGACATGCGGTCAGAGGGCAGGGGCCACAGGAAGCGGGAGGCTCGAGACGCAGCGGCGCGCGCCTGCCTGGTGGCGCTGCTGACGAGCGCGAACGGCATGCAGCCGGCGGCGCTGCTGACGTGCGCGGACGGCATACAGCCGGCGGCGTTGCTGACGCGCGCGGACGGCATGCAGCCGGCGGCGCTGCTGACGCGCGCGGACGACATGCAGCCGGCGGCGTTGCTGACGCGCGCGGACGGCATGCAGCCGGCGGCGTTGCTGATGCGCGCGGACGGCATGCAGCCGGCGGCGTCGACCCACCAGGACACCAGCGACGAGCCGCCCGAGGGACAAGATGCATTGGACAATTGGAATCTGAAGGCCCTCGCGAATGCATACGTCGCTGTGGAATCTTGGGGCAGGTCGCCAGTGTCGGCGCTGAACGAACTAGGCGTTCGAGTCCGTTATACACTAGTGGAGCAGAGCGGAACAGCACACTGTCCGAGCTTCACCGTTGTCGTCACTGTGGCGGACATGCGGTCAGAGGGCAGGGGCCACAGCAAGCGGGAGGCTCGAGACGCGGCGGCGCGCGCCTGCCTCGTGGCGCTGCTGACGCGCGCGGACGGCATGCAGCCGGCGGGCGCATACAGCCGGCGGCGCTGCTGACGCGCGCGGACGACATGCAGCCGGCGGCGTTGCTGACGCGCGTGGACGGCAATCAGCCGGCGGCGCTGCTGACGCGCGCGGACGGCATGCAGCCGGCGGCGCTGCTGAAGCGCGCGGACGACATGCAGCCGGCGGCGTTGCTGACGCGCGCGGACGGTGCGCAGCCGGCGGCGCTGCTGACGCGCGCGGACGACATGCAGCCGGCGGCGCTGCTGACGAGCGCGGACGGCATGCAGCCGGCGGTGCCGACCCACCAGGACACCAGCGACGAGCCGCCCGAGGGACAAGATGCATTGGACAATTGGAATCTGAAGGCCCTCGCGAATGCATACGTCGCTGTGGAATCTTGGGGCAGGTCGCCAGTGTCGGCGCTGAACGAACTGGGCGTTCGAGTCCGTTATACACTAGTGGAGCAGAGCGGACCAGCACACTGTCCGAGCTTCACCGTTGTCGTCACTGTGGCGGACATGCGGTCAGAGGGCAGGGGCCACAGCAAGCGGGAGGCTCGAGACGCGGCGGCGCGCGCCTGCCTCGTGGCGCTGCTGACGAGCGCGGACGGCATGTAGCCGGCGGCGCTGCTGACGCGCGCGGACGGCATGTAGCCGGCGGCGCTGCTGACGCGCGCGGACGGCAATCAGCCGGCGGCGCTGCTGAGGCACGCGTACGGCATGCAGCCGGCGGCGCCGCTGACGCGCGCGGACATTATGCAGCCGGCGGCGCTACTAACGCGCGCGGACGGCATGCAGCCGGCGGCGTTTCTGACGCGCGCGGACGACATGCAGCCGGCGGCGTTGCTGACGCGCGCGGACGACATGCAGCCGGTGGCGCTGCTGACGCGAACGGACGGCATACAGCCGGCGGCGTTGCTGACGCGCGCGGACGGCATGCAGCCGGCGGCGCTGCTGAAGCGCGCGGACGACATGCAGTCGGTGGCGTTGCTGACGCGCGCGGACGGCATGCAGCCGTCGGCGCTGCTGACGAGCGCGGACGGCATGCAGCCGGCGGCGCCGACCCACCGGGACACCAGCGACGAGCCGCCCGAGGGACAAGATGCATTGGACAATTGGAATCTGAAGGCCCTCGCGAATGCATACGTCGCTGTGGAATCTTGGGGCAGGTCGCCAGTGTCGGCGCTGAACGAACTAGGCGTTCGAGTCCGTTATACACTAGTGGAGCAGAGCGGACCAGCACACTGTCCGAGCTTCACCGTTGTCGTCACTGTGGCGGACATGCGGTCAGAGGGCAGGGGCCACAGCAAGCGGGAGGCTCGAGACGCGGCGGCGCGCGCCTGCCTCGTGGCGCTGCTGACGCGCGCGGACGGCATGCAGCCGGCGGGCATGCAGCCGGCGGCGCTGCTGACGCGCACGGACGACATGCAGCCGGCGGCGTTGCTGACGCGCGCGGACGGCAATCAGCCGGCGGCGCTCATGACGCGCGCGGACGGCATGCAGCCGGCGGCGCTGCTGAAGCACGCGGACGACATGCAGCCGGCGGCGATGCTGACGCGCGCGGACGGCATGCAGCGGGCGGAGCTGCTGAAGCGCGCGGACGACATGCAGCCGGCGGCGTTGCTGACGCGCGCGGACGGCATGCAGCCGGCGGCGCTGCAGCCGGCGGCGCTGCTGACGCGCACGGACGACATGCAGCCGGCGGCGTTGCTGACGCGCGCGGACGGCAATCAGCCGGCGGCGCTCCTGACGCGCGCGGACGGCATGCAGCCGGCGGCGCTGCTGAAGCACGCGGACGACATGCAGCCGGCGGCGATGCTGACGCGCGCGGACGGCATGCAGCGGGCGGCGCTGCTGAAGCGCGCGGACGACATGCAGCCGGCGGCGTTGCTGACGCGCGCGGACGGCATGCAGCCGGCGGCGCTGCTGACGCGCGCGGACAACATGCAGCCGGCGGCGCTGCTCACGAGCTCGGACGGCATGCAGCCGGCGGCGCCGACCCACCAGGACACCAGCGACGAGCCGCCCGAGGGACAAGATGCATTGGACCATTGGAATCTGAAGGCCCTCGCGAATGCCATACGTCGCTGTGGAATCTTGGGGCAGGTCGCCAGTGTCGGCGCTGAACGAACTGAGCGTTCGAGTCCGTTATACACTAGTGGAGCAGAGCGGACCAGCACACTGTCCGAGCTTCACCGTTGTCGTCACTGTGGCGGACATGCGGTCAGAGGGCAGGGGCCACAGCAAGCGGGAGGCTCGAGACGCGGCGGCGCGCGCCTGCTTCGTGGCGCTGCTGACGAGCGCGGACGGCATGCAGCCGGCGGCGCCGACCCACCAGGACACCAGCGACGAGCCGCCCGAGGGACAAGCTGCGAATGTATCGACGGGCGCGGTGCTCTTCGGTGCTCCAGTGCCGGTGCCTGCTCACAAGAGCCCCATCAACACTCTGTACGAAAACTGTCCAGAATTAACCTTCATCTGCACCTACGGGGACGGCTCGCCTTTGGACTCCATGCAGGCACCACTTCAGCTGAGTCACAGTGTGAGATTTAAAGTGTGTTACGACTACTACCGCCACCTACGAGAGCGAACGCCCTCTGATGTCGTATTGTATAAAAAGCGAGTAGGAAGCTCTTGAAAGAAGCCTCAGGAGAAGCGTCCATTAATATTTTAAACGTCTAGCAAGCAACACAAATTTTGTCAACCACATATTATATTATTTCAAATTGTAATTTTAAATAAATATTTTTATTTAAAGACAAAATAAACGATTCATTTGAACCGGGAACCTGAAACTCGCACCATATTTTGGACCATCATCGTCGGATTTCAAGAACTGAGCCAGCGTCGCACAACTAAGCGTAGTAGCAGCGAAACGGTCAGGTTTTTATTCTCTTTTACTCTTAATCCTTTTCAAATTGTGCTAAACCGTGTTCTTTTCACATCTACAGTGCTCGAGATTTCTGTCTGGTTGCAACGCTACAGCCGTAAATACTTACACGTGAGTACCTACTTTTACCACATTATTTCTTCATAGGCCGCCAAAATGAGTGAAAGTTCTAGTGTAAAATTAATTGTCCCATCTCTTTCGCTCTTCGAAAAAAGAAATCAGTAGACGAATATCTTTCGGATCTCAAGAAAAAAACAGGTCATTTGAAGGGCAAACTAACGCAGCTTAAAAAATACGTTACAAGTTTAGAAGGTGCTAGCCTCAACAAATTTCAAATTGCAGAATTAAAGTTAAGGAAGCAATCGGCTAGTGAAGATTTTCATAATTTTTATTTGTATAGAAAGCGAAATAGAACTTAATTCTTCAGATAGTGAAATTTGTATCAATTTAGAATATGTAGAATCATTAGAATCATTGTATTTTAGCACAATGGCCGTTGCCAATTGTCTGAGTGATGGAATGGATGATGGATCTCAATTGACGCAGTGCGCTTCATTGCAATCTAACGTTCAATTACCTCAAATTAAACTGCCTATATTCTCTTACGATAGATTGAGGCTCTTACGATAACTGGTTAGAATTCAAAAACTCATACATTACAATGATACATAAACGTTCTGACTTGGATGAAATTCAAAAATTTCATTATCTGAAATCATCATTGACTGGTACTGCCTTACAAGTGATAAGTTCTCTAGAATTTACAGCGCTTAATTATATCCAAGCATGGGAGCTACTTGAAAATCGTTATAATAACATTCGATTGTTAATTAATAATCACGTCAAATCATTATTTAATATTCCATGCATTAAAAAGGAATCACCATCACAAATTCGTAAATTAATAGACACAGTTTCTAGAAATTTACGCGCTCTAAAAACATTTAACGAGCCCACCGAGTATTGGGATACTTTGATAATCCATTTAATAATTTCGAAACTGGATACTAATACGGAACGTGGATGGGAAACGCGGAGAGTTGATATTGGTAGTCGATTTAAAGGTGATTCTTCCGAGAAAATATGTTTGGAAGATTTATTTTCATTTCTACGCAATAAAGCAAACATGTTGGATATGATAAGCACTGTTCAGGCACACAAATCGCAAAATAAATCACTTCCTAACAATAATAAGCTAAACGAGTCGGTATCAGGTAATATTCATAGTTACGTTTCAACTAATAATGGCAATAGCAAACCTAAATGGAACACTAAAAAGAAGTTTCCTAAATGCTTATTATGTAGCCAGAATCATGCACTACACACTTGCGTTAATTTTTTAAATTTATTAGTTAAAGATAGGCTTAAATTCGTACAAGACAAAAATTTGTGTCGTAATTGCTTGCGTGCGGGGCATTCAGTAAACGACTGCTTATTCGGCCCTTGCAAACAGTGTCAACGCAAACATAATACTTTGTTACATTTTAATGTAGATGCTATAGACGTGATAGACGAGCCGGATCCAGTCGACACACACACAACAGTGTCTACAGCTGCGTTGCACTCATTATCAGCTGAGGCAACCGTGCAGCAAAAAAGTTTACTACAACCGGTTTTGCTGTCCACCGCTTTAGTCGAAATAGTAGACAGTAATAATTGTTTTCACACAATACGTGCTCTTCTCGATAATGGAAGCCAGCATTGTTTTGTTTCGGATAAGTTGTGTAAACGGTTAAATGCGCCTCTAATACAGTCCACTGTTCAAATCTCGGGTGTTGGAAAATTCATTTCAAAATCGAGACATACATGCGATGTATCTATCCGTTCAAAAATAAACGACTATAAAGTAAATTTAAATTGTTTCGTCTTGCCGTGTATTACGTCTAGTTTACCCTCGATGAACACTAAATTCGATATTAAACGTTATATTCCCAATAACATTCAACTTGCGGATCCTAATTTTAATGTACCCTTTTTTTTTTTTTTTTTTTTGCATGGGGAAATGCCTACGCATACCCGCCTCGCGGGGGCAAGGACGGGTTATGTCGGACTCGCACCGACTAAAACCCCATGGTGTTCCACCTTTGTCGCATATTGGCAGGGCTACGGGAACGCTTTCGCACACATCCGCGGCCCTACTAGCGCCTGCCGCCCCATGGCAGCACCTCCTCGGGAGAGGAAAATTCCTCCCCATTCTCCTTCCCAGGTAAGGCGCACCAGAACACATGGCGCGCCTTCCTCCACGGCCTCCAACTACTTCTGTGCAACAGACGCCCCCGCGTCCGTTGCACAAAGGCCATGGGGCCAGGAAAAACGAACACTTAGAAGTACTAGCCTTCCCGACCCCAGCGGCGGATCTGGTCTATGGCTCCGCCGCCAACCAAGATTCGGCTGCGGAGGGTAGGGAGAGCGGCGCCTCGCAATACCGACAATCCTCTCCCCCGCAGCCCCACCACCACCGCATCAACGGTGCGGCCCCGTTTGAGTCGCGAAGGATAGGGCGAGTGGCGCATCGCCATACCAACACTCCTCTTCCTCCGCGACTCCACCTCGGCTGCAGCGGTAGAGGGTGCGCGAGTCCCCACTCGCTGCAGTCCACCAGCACACATCCGAAGTGGGCTCCCCAAGCCCACTCGGAGCGGCCACCTCAGGCCGGCCCTTCACCTCGGGCCAGCCACGTGGGTTCCTCTTTGTTCACCGTGGGAGACCAAGCCACGGCTACTAAGCCCTCCCGCCACGACAAGGCGGGAACCCGTTCGGGGGGGAATTTTAATGTACCCTCAGATATAGATTTATTATTAGGGGCCAATATTTTTTGGGATCTTTTAGATAATAATAAAATTCGTTTACCATGCGGGCCATATTCACAAGGTTCTAAATTCGGGTGGTTGATATCTGGTCCCATTTACACCAATAACTTGCGCATTAATCAGGTTCAGTGTAATTTTAGTCAGAGCATTGAGCTCAAAAAATTTTGGGAGTTAAAGGATATACCCACAGCTTCTCGCAACATTCTAAGTAATGACGAACGTGTGTGCGAGGAGTTATTTACAAAAACTACTAAACGTGAAAATAATGGTAGGTTTTCGGTTCGAATACCGCTAAGAGAATCAGCTGATACGCTCGGGGATTCTTACGTCACTCTCACGTCAGCGAAGAAACGATTTCTATCACTAGAACGTAAACTCGAACGTATACCTGATTATAAACGAAAGTATAATGATTTCATGCGTGAATATATAAATATGGGTCATATGACTGAATTTATTCGAGTAGTTCTCCTAATTTTTATCTTCCTCATCACGGAGTTTTTAAGGATAGCAGTTCTACAACAAAATTACGCGTAGTATTCGATGGAAGTGCTGTGAACAGCTCAAAAAAATCGTTGAATGATATTCAGTTTCCTGGTCCAGCATTACAAAATGACATATTTTCTATCTTGTTGCGATTTAGACAATATAAATACGTAGCATGTGCAGATGTAGAAAAAATGTTTCGTCAAGTACTTGTTCAAGCAGACCAAAGGTCTTTGCAACTTATACTCTGGCGAGAAAATCTTACGGAACCCTTAGCTACATACCAACTCAACACGGTGACGTACGGCACCGCCGCAGCGCCGTTCCTTAGTATGCGCTGCATTCGACAACTAGCAATAGAATGCAATGATGACGACATAACGCGCGTTATCATGCAAGATTTTTTTGTCGATGATTTAATAACAGGTGACGACAATTGTCAAAGTTTATTACAAACTTGTAACAAAATTTCAAAGGTATTACAGTCTGGTTGTTTTCCGTTGCGTAAATGGACCTTTAATTTTGGTGTAAAAGATAATGATAATACGGAAGAACATTTTATTGATAAATATACAAAAAATAAAACGCTAGGCTTAGGCTGGCAAAATAATAACGATAAAATCTTTTTTTGACACCAAATTTAATAATGATTTAAGTGAACTTATTTTGACTAAAAGGAAAATGTTATCCATAGCTTCTCAAGTATACGATCCGTTAGGCCTGTTATCTCCAACAATTATTATATACAAAATACTATTACAAAAATTGTGGCTAAGTAAAATCGATTGGGATACTCCTGTGCCTTCGGATATAATCTTAACGTGGAATAAATTTATTAACTCATTAAAACTATTGAATGATTTGAATATACCACGACGAGTAACAAGTGATAACAATCAATATACGGAACTCCACATTTTTACCGACGCATCCCAAATCGCGTACGGTGCTTGTGCTTACATACACACATATGATGATAAGTCATCCATATGTGTGCACTTATTATGTGCCAAGAGTAAAGTCGCGCCTTTGAAAACGATTAGTTTACCCCGTCTCGAACTTTCCGGAGCATTAATAGGGGCAAAATTATATAAAAAAATTGTTGAGTCGCTTAGATTAAAATTTACGAGTGTTTTCTTCTGGACAGACTCAACTATTGTTATGGGTTGGATTCGAACGTCTCCTCATCTACTTAAAACATTTGTACAAAACAGAGTTACAGAAATAAATGAACTAATGGGTGACTTAATATGGTTACACGTTAATGGTAAACATAATCCAGCTGACTTGTTATCTAGAGGTCAGTATCTAGATTCATTAGTAAACTGCGATTTATGGTGGCACGGCCCATCATATCTACATTCTCA